TAACATTATCATTGTTTATAATCTGTATTGAAATCTACAGTGCAGAACAAACAACTACCAAATGTCTGTAAAACACCTGCAATAAGCTCTAACCTTTGAGTCATAGCAAAAGCTATGGTTTTGGGTTAAAAAGCATGAACATTCTTTTCTCTTTCCAGAGGGCTAGATATATATAAATTGGACAGAGATGTTTTCAGTCCAATGAGAAGGGCCTTTAAGTCTATACTAAGAAGACAACCAAAGGAAATTAAATTTTTAAGCTTGTGATTATGATATAGTCAGTACTTTACTATCTTGTCATAACTTCATTGATTGATGTTAAAACTCTGAACCTTGGCCGGGCAGTGGTGGCACACACCTTTAGTCCCAGCACATGGGAATCAGAGGCAGGCAGATCTCTGTGACTTTGAGGCCAGCCTGGTCTACAAGAGCTAGTTCCAGATATCTAGGGCTATTACACAGAGAAACGCTGTCTCAAAAAACCCCAAACAAACAAACAAACACAAAACAAAAACAAACAAACAAAAAACGGTCTGAACCTTTGAAACCTTAGTATAACAATAATATAGAGGGAGAAAGAAATCTCAAAAAGTTCTTGTTTTTCACATACCTTAAATAGCTTCCTTAGACTTTTATAACTTGAATTTACACATCTTAAAACACTTTTTTTAGACCCTCACAACTTACTTAAGCTTCACATCTTTTTATTTCCATCTAATCATTTACCACGAGGCACAAGAAGTTAGTTACTGACAGCAGTCATTGCAAAACAAGTTTTTCCTTTTTTTTTTTTTTAAATAAAGGAATGGTAAAGAGTTACATCTGAAACATGTTTATCTTTTAAAATGAAGCCTGTTAGCAAGGCAAATCTGTCTGCCTTTCTCAGAAGGAGATCTAGTAGCGCTAGAAAAATCAAGGCTTGGTTTTTACATGTGAAATGAACTAACAAGGTAGCTGCAGCCTTGAGGAAGGAGCTGGTTTCCCACTGCTCCCAAACTGACAACGCTACAGTTAGCCATCAACACCATTAGAGATCTGAGAGGGATAAATTATAGCAGAAAACACAAACCAAGGGCCTTTGCAGTGACTAAAATGACAGAGACTTAGCTGCTACCCGTGAGGCTCCTGTGGTCTGTTTGTCTTCATTGGGGGCAGAAGTTGTAGTCTTTGGCTGTTGCACAGGACAGCATTGCATCTTCAGCTGCTGCACAGGACAGCATTGGTCTTTGCCTGCCAGACTCAGACGGTCTGAGAGATTTTACTATGGATGAAGAACTTGGAAAAATGGGTCTACCTTGACTTACATAGAGGAAGAAAATTAATCCACAGTGTCCGCAGTTTGTACAGGTCCTTCATGGTGAGGCATGAAGAAGTTGTTCCCAGTTGATAGTGGCACCACAATCCAGGTTTACGCACAATTTGTTTTTTGTTTTCTTTGGAGACGTTAGGGTTGCTTCTAGGATCTGGCATTTTTGTCTATCATAGGAAGCATTTTTTTTTTCATTAAACATTTTACATGCCATATTCATCAGATTTCTGAAAAGTTTTGAGTGCCATAAATTAAGTATACTTGATTTCATTGAGTGTGGTGGCACACACCTTTAATCCTAGCATTCAGGAGAACAGAGGTAGGTGGATCTCTGTGAGTTCGAGGCTAGCCTGGTCTACAAAGTGAATTTCAGGACAGCTAGAAATACACAGAGAAACCCTGTCTTGAAAAATAAAACAAACAACAACAAAATGTATATCTGATTTCGAATAAAATTTGCTTTTTGTTGTTACTAGGCTTAAGCTTGAAAACATATAGGAGGCTAAATAAACCTTATTCCTGTAATTAATTACATTGGTACTTAGCATAATTGCAAGTAAAATTCTCAACAAATTAAAAAATATGATAATTCATAATATGACTATTAACTTGCATGTCTTAAACATCTTTAACAGTTTACAATAAGCTAGTGGCTTTTATAAGATTAGGATTTGCATTTTTATCCCTGCTAAGCTTAGCCTTAAAAGAAAAACAATTTTTGAGTTAAAGCCCTTTTAGTATTAGAATAAAACTTTAAGTTTTAAGTATAATCCATAGGGAGACTGGCAACATTATTTCCTGGTGATTAAGTAGTGTACCATTACAGAATATCACAGTTTCTTGTATGACTCAGTCTTTCAAAATAGCTAATGCTTAACAAAGTTAGTAAGACAAAGAAGCTAGACTTACATTCTCAAGTTAGAGACTGTTCACTTGAATAGGCTCGGGTAAGGGGCGACTTTCTATAGACTCTTTGCAAGACTGATTAGGTCATTGTCTCACTGCATCTTAAGATAGGAATATCCCAGTTTCTAGTGTTTAGTGTATGGTGCTCATAGTTGTGACCCTAACTCATTTTTCTTTCTGTATATCTATCTGTCTGTCTGTTTCTATGTCTGTCTGTCTGATTGTTTTTACTTATTTTTCAAAGATTACATGGCAATGTAATATATCTTATAAACTTAAAATGTCCCATAACCTTATTAATTTAAATATTTAAAGAAAATATCCAGTTTTTTAATTAAAAAAATTTTGGCAACACTTCAAAATTTCCTTTTAAAAAAGTTTAAAATCTCTCAGCTGCGGGTTCCCGCAATATTAAAAAAAAAAAACCCTTGAGTACCCTATTTTATAACAAGAGGGAAAAAGCAGGGCACAACCACAGAGTAGACAAGGCAAAATCAAAGTTTGGCAATGCAAGCAATTCTGTGCTCACCCTCTCGTATAAGGGGCTCGGGTCACCTTTCCAGCTCCACCCTCCGTAGCACACAAAACCTGTCTTCTAGGTCCTAGCCGGCTCCTTTCTTTGTGGCTGTTGTTCCTGGTGGCTATCACATAGCACTGGCATTTCCAAAACTGCTGAGGTCCCTCTCCTGGGCTCTCTTTAGGGACTCCAGCCTCTGCCACACACTGCCAAGCTTCAGCTGTTCTCCATGACCCCTTCATGTCTTTAAAACACATATCACTTAGGTGATTGTTACATTACAAAGTTTGGCTGTCAACATGAGGTACATTCTTGTATAAAAATGCCTATTAAACCTGCCCTGTATATAAGTACATAAGTATTCTTATATGAGTACAGCTTTAATACCCTATTAAACAAGCATTGTTTTTTTAAGTCCTATCTTTCTAAACCTTGTTTTTAATGACTTTGTTTTCAGGATGAGAATTATCATACACAAATCTATTCTAATTCAAAATATCTTGTACATCTGTTGTTGCTCTCCCGAGACAGGACAGAGAAAAGACTTTGAAATAAGCAAGCTTGGCTCTAGAGAAGAGAGAAAACCCAAACCCAATCACAGAGCCAGCTTTTCAAGAAAGCAAAACAGCATAAAATAGCTTTAATATTTTTTGCACTCAAAAGACATTTGGATTCCTGCTAAACAGAATCCAGTGACCAAAAAGCTCAGAGATAAGACATTTTGAAGTCTGTGTGTCAAAGCAGCCATGGCAAGTGTGTTAGTGGCGGCTGGTGGCCAACAACAGTGACAGAGACAACAGAAACAAAACCAATAAATACAGAACATAGAAAGCCCACACACTCAAAGGAGACCAGTCAGAAACAAAACATGTGGGGGTCAACCATCATTCATGCATTTCACTGAGCCTGACCCCCATTTCTGTCTTGGCTCCCATGTTTGCAAAAAAAACAACAGACACACCAGAAACCACAGAACCATCCACGTACACAAAACCGACAGGCAAGACTTTACGTTTAACTGGGCCTGACTGATTTCCATTTTGGCTCCGAGTATCCAAACAATCAGAACCAAGCAGGTGGGACTATGTCTTGCTTTTTGCCCTGAATAGGAGACTATTGGTTCCTGTCGAACACTATTCCAACTACTCCCATATACCTTGCCCCTCCTCTTTTTCAAATTTGGGGCCTCTTTTCTTTAATAGACATGATAATACAGAAAGGCAAAAGCTCAGGAGGCCTAAACCCTAGGCAACCACCGAAGACTGAGAGCAGAAGAAATAGTCTTCCCTAGCAAAGACCACACAAGACTGAGCGGTCCGCCACTGAAAACACACATACAAATTACAATGTATGGACTGAGAAAGACTTCTTTTTTCATATTTATGTTGCTTGTCTTCAAGTAGGGGTTAGTAAATGAAATAATTTTAACTTGACTACTTGTGTAAAGAACGAAATAAGGGTCTTGTGTTAAGATGTCAACATTGTTTTTTTGAAGGAACCATAACACCCCTACTGGAGATATTTACAGTGATATATAGAGATAAACATTTAGCAAACAAGGTTTTATTTTTTTCTTCCCTCTCTGTGAATGAAACTGTTATCCCAAACCCATTTATTTGCAGTTTGTTCTTAAATGAATCTACTATAGAATGTGCCATGTTGTTTTTACATAAATCAATAGCTATATTTCATAATTTTGTGTTTGTGTATTCAAAAACCCTGTCTCGAAAATTAAAAAAAAATTCTGCCTTATTCTTTTCTGCCTACAGATGTCCTAAAATGGATTTTATTTGGAGTGTGAGATGTATATTTGAACTATAGGGTTGAAGGTGTTTTCTGTCTCCATCGTTTTGATTTTTTCTTCGAGCTTCCTCTCACCAGGATTGTCCAAAAGAAGATCTTCCGGTGTTTGTCATGCAATAGGATGACTACATTAGAGAATAATAATTGGCTGGCCCATCAGAGAATTGCAGTGGTAACCTGCAGGCAGCTGGAAAGTCGGTCCTGAGATAGTAGGACGATATCAGGGCAGGGAATTTAGATTTACAGCATTCCTCCCTGGAGTTGAAGTGGGAAGAGAGGGAAGTAAGATCACCTGGGATTAGAACATGTACTGTGTTAGAGAGAGAGGACATAGGAGGCAGGCTAAATTTGGGAAGCAGGTATGATTTAGTTGCCACTTTTGGGCAGAAGCAAATCGAACAGAGAGCAAAACCAAGTTCAACAGATTAATGTGGTTATTGGCTTTCTTTCTGTCCTCACTGTTAGGGTTTCAGAGATGTTCTTCCAACTGAAAGAGATGAATGAAAAAGTATCTTTTATAAAGGACTCGCTACTATCCTTGGACAGCCAGGTGGGCCACCTCCAGGACCTCTCTGCCCTGACCGTCGACACCCTGAAGGTCCTTTCTGCTGTTGACACGTTGCAGGAAGATGAGGTTCTTCTGGCCAACAGAAAGCATTCCGCTTGTAGAAAACGTCCCCACAGCTGGACCAATGTCATCTGCACAAATGTTCTCAGCAGCACGGGAAGCTGTGCGAAGAAGAAATTTCAGTGCTACAGCATGCCCCCTTCTTTGCTGCGGAGTCTTGCCAGAAGCCAGCTTCCCCCAAGAGTGCAGACGGGAGCCTTGCTAGAGATTACACACGGTAAGGGAAAGGCCTCATGCGTAAGAGAAGACCAGGAGGAACAAGAAATGGACCCAGTTGCTTCTGGGGTGTCCCAGGTCAGACAAGCACACTCTGAGTATGGTCAGTTTCTCCTGGTCCCGTCTTCTGGAAAACAAGTTCCTTTCTCTTTTGAAAGGCCCCCACCTATTTTCAGATCATCTGAAGAAGCCAACATAGATGACCTGGCACTGGAACATGTATGCCAACATGATATCACTATCCATCTGCCTGTGCAGACCTCTGCTGCCTCCCACCAAGCATTGGTAGCAGAACACAAGGAGCCACATGAGGCAGCCACACAGAGGTCAGACGAACATGACAAGGCCGAAGAAGATCCACTCACGCTTAGTGGCCTACCTGCTCCCTTGACAATGACCTCGCTTCCTTCCCGAGCCATCAGCATGCAAGCCGAGGGTGGATACGTGAACTGGGCCTTTTCTGAAAGTGATGAAACCGATGTGTTCAGTTTCAAAAAAAAGTGGAAAACTTGCTTGCCTTCTACGTGCAGCAGTGAAGAATGCCCCCTCCAGAGAGGAGGCAGGTGCAGCAGTAAAGAATGCCCCCTCCAGAGAGGAGGCAGGTGGGGACTGGATAATTCAAGAACATCGTCCCAGAGTAGTGAGCGCTCAGTAGTGGCAGGACCGTGGGCCCAGCCAAGAAGGTCTTTTTGCATCAGTCCTCTCTGTAGAAACAGACCTCTCATCAGGAGCCATAGCTTTAGATTCCACAAGGAGGAGAAACTGAGGAAGATCTGGAAGAACAACAGTAAGGAGCAAATGCTTTCAATTTATTTTTATTTTCTCACTCATGAGATCTCTTATTTTTTATTTTTAAAACTTTCCATGCCACATATTTTGGATGTATTCTCTTTCCTCTCCCAGCTTCTCCTTGACCTTCCCTTCTTCCCCCACAACTTCATGTTCTCTCTCTCTCTCTCTCTCTCTCTCTCTCTCTCTCTGTCTCTCTGTCTCTCTCTCCACACAAACAGAAACAACAACAAAAAAGCCCCAAACCAAAAGCAAGCCTGAAACAGAACAAAACACAGTAGAACCATGGAGTTGTTTGTGATACTCCCTGGGGCTTGCCCTGCCTGGGGTTCAGTTGATTTATCCAGTGTCACTACATTGGAGAAAAGGGATTCTTCCCTCATCTCTTGGCATCTATCACTTGCAGTAGGTCCTTGATTAGGGGTGGAACTTAGGGTCTACCTCCCCTTCTTACTGGCATTTTTGTCTTACATGAATGCTGGCAAGTCTTGTACCCGCTGTCCCAGGCCATGGGAGTTCCTATGTGCGGTAACCCTGCTTTGTCCGGAAGTACCGGCTCCTCAGAGTTATCCATCATCTCTGTCTATCACAGTCTTTCTAGCCACCTTTCTTGTTTCCTCCTTGATTCCCGAATCGTGAGGGGTGATAAAGATCCATTTATGGCTGGTGGGGAGGAAACATTTTTAAAAGTGTGGTCATTAGCATTGCTACTCTTCTGCAAATGCCTGTGGTTGTTAAGGGCAGTATCATTCTTCTCATTACCCCAGTCCTCTCTTTAAAACAGAATTGTCTCCGTACACAGCCTCCAGCATTCACATGCACTCTATTTCCCTGCCAGGCCACGCAAGAGCCTCAGAGACAGGCTCAACATGGATCAAAACAAAACTCCTAACCAAGAACAGAAGCCTGTCAAAGAAGAAGAAGAAGACGACGACTCAGGGACTCCAGGTGCCAGTAAGTATTCCTCCCTTTTACTTTAGGGTTTGAATAACTGAGTCAGTGGCATCTCCCCTTGGCTCCTGTTGTGGACGCAGGACAACATTGTACCAGGAGGAATAAAGACATCTATCTTGACTTGCTTATCTGCTCACAAGCTGAAAGCCGTTTAGATTGTTTCTGATTTGGGTTAGTCCAAGAGAGCCTGAGGGAGCACTCGTGTAAAAGTCCTTCTGTGAATATTGTTTCATCCACATTAAATGCCAGCATCCTGTGACGTTGTTGATGACGTCACTCCATGACTTTCGGGGACCATCTTTGGTTTGTGAGTCTATCAGCTGTTCTGCTTCTGCATCTGTGTGCCTGAGGCTCAGTCTTGATCCAGGCACATCGGTGGCTCTGGAGTGTACGTCCTGTGAGGTTAGTGAGTATTGACTCAAGTTCTTAGGAGACCTTCCATGAGTTCATCTGCACTCACCTGTCTGGGTCCTTCATAGAATGCAGTAATTGATTTGTTTGCTTACTGTGACGTAAACTCCCGCTGTGAGTTCTAGTCTTGTTGGATGTTTTTTGTGAACCCCCTTTCCCACCGGCATCTTGCCCCTTTGCTGTCATGACTGTTGTCAGAGGTGCACAGATTTGTTTTTAAAATTTTTTATCAAATATTTGACTTTTTCCTTTTGTAGCTAAAGGTTGCTCTTCCCCCAGAACCCAAGCTATCACTAAGACGTTGTCTCTTGTTTTCTGCTACGATTTCTACACTTTTCGTCTCTACATTAGCTCTAGGGCCCATTTTAAGGTACTTTTTGTATATGGGGATAGGAAAGGATTGAATTTTCTCTCCCGTGTAAATATCAAAAAAATTCTATCATTTTTTTTTTTTGGTAAAATTGTGACTTTTTTTTCTATTGAATTACCTTAACATTTGTCAAAAGCTAATTGCCTATACAGACCCACAGTATGTGTGGTTCTATTTCTGTCTATCTCCATGCCAATACTAAATCCATCTCGACTACCGAAACTTTATAAGTTGTGAAATCATGCATAAAAGAAATCCTTCGTTTTTCAAGAAATGATTTGGCTATTTTATGTTCTTTGCATTTATATATAAATTTAGTTTCAGATTTCAGTTTTTACACAGAAACCTTCTGGGATTTGGAACAGAATTGCTCTGAATCTGCATGCCAGTTGTGGGAAATTGACATCTTATCCACAACTAGGTGTCTGATTCATTGGAAGTGATGTATGTCTAGCTTTAGGGCATTTTGACCTCAGTAATTCTTTGTAGTTTTCAGCACTCATGTCTTGAATATCTCTGGTTACATGTGTATCTAACATTGAAAATACATATCAAAGTTTTAAAATTTGTTGTGACTGTAGTTACTTTAAAATAGTAAATCTCCTTCTTTTTCTCCTTCTCTCTCTGTGTGTATGTATGTGTGTGTGAAGCCTTGGTCTTATTTTTCACAATTTTGCCAAACTCACTTTTGCTTTTGAAAGTTTTTGATAATATTTTATGTAAGTGATGGTATTAACAATGGATTTTTAATTATTCATTTCCAATCTGGATCTATTTTATACTTTTTCTGCCTGATTACACTGGCTGGAACACTGAGTACTGTGTTAAATAGAAGCCATGAAAGCAGGCATCTTTCCACGTTTTCTTTGAACTATAATTGAGGCCAAACACAGCGTCTTTGTTTTTCTTTTATTGCTCCTGGTAGAAAGTACTTTTTCTTTCATCATTAAATAGGATATTTGTCCATATTGTTGTGCACCAATTTAGATGCTTTTCTTCTTTACCTTGTTAATTGATTTTAAAATGTTAGAGTTAACATTTTGAGCATTAAACCTGCATTACTGGGATAAATGCCACTTGTCCACTTATGTACTCTTACAATGATATTAATTTTGCTAGTACTTTTGCACCTGTGTTCCTGGGGCATTGTCTTCAGTTTTCTTTTATTGTCATAACTTTGGTTTGGGTAACAGGGTTATCCCAAAATAATTGGCTACATTGGGTATATGTCTTCAGTTTTCTTTGTGAGTTTGTTAAAAAGTTGATAACCTTTCAACATTACATACTCAGTTGAATTATCCAATAAACCCATCATTTTGGTAAAGTTTTTAACTACATATTAAGCACCTGTAATAGTCATAGGGCTCTTTAGATTACCAGATTGTTAAATGGTCTTTGACTGTTTCTGAATTTAAAGACTATCTATTTTGTTTAATGTAAGTGGAGACTGCTTGTTCATTTCCCAGTCAGCCAGACCCAAATAATCACAAAAAAGTCCCATATTAGTTACAACATTGTTTGGCCAATATCTTAAGCATATTCCTAGCTAGCTCTTACATCTTAAATTAACACATTTCTATTATTTTATATTTTACCACAAAGCTTGTGGTTTGTTACCTCTTGCTTCTTGGGAAACTCCATGGTGTCTGCCTTTTTTTGGCAGCTGCATGCCATCTCCCTGACTCTGCCTACTCTTTCTATATATCTCTTCCAGCCTGGTTATATTCTTCCCTGCCATAGGCCAAAGCAGCTTTATTCATTAACCAATAAAAGTAACACATAGACATAAGGACATCCTGTATCATCATCCCTTTTCTGTCTAATTAAAATGAAAGGTTTTAGTTTTAACATAGCAAAATTACATATAACATAACAGTTATCAAGCAAGAATTACAATTTGTGAGTCTAAAGTTTCATATCTAATTTATCTTTAACAAAACTAAGGAAAACTGCAACTATAGCTATTTGTCTTAACTCCATTGAAGACTCCAGAAGGATATACTATTATCTAAGTAAACAAGAAGTACATTGTAAGCAACTTCCAAAGTTCTAGAAATGACAGAGGCATCTTGCTGTCTTGACAGTCACCCAAAGTTCTTCTGTAATATGTAGGCGTCCATCTTCAACTTACAAGCTCATAGTATTTTGCAGACTTTTCCATGAATTAGGAAATTTGAAAAACTGTTTTGCCTATATTGACAGTTTTCAGTCACTTTCTTCTATGTCCTGCAGAATGTCTGGCAGTTTTCCCTGTGAAGCAGGAACCCTGAAAAACCATCCATCTTTTGGAAAGTTTAGCAGTCATTTTTTTTTTTTTTTTTTTGTGGATCCTGCATATCCAGTTCATACAGCATACCATCAGGCAGTCCAGGCAAGAACAGTTTCTTGATCAAATGGCTAGCCTTGTCACATTGAATACAAATTTCATATCAAGTTTCTTCAATGCCCATCTACTTCTCTGAAGTAGCTGATGTTGCCAGAAGCAGACATATCTAACTATTGAGAAATGTTGAGGTTCTTAAAACATTTTAAATGCCATATTCTATAGGTCTTTGAAGTTTTAAAGACATCTATCTAACTGAAATATATCTCTATATATCTAGAAAACCTAACTGACATGACTACAAGTTTGACAATTACAAATGACTATTAATCTGTAATTTTTAATTATATATTACATTTTAAAGTGAGTTGCACAAATATAATATTGTAAATAAGAGTAGAAATATACATATAACAAAACTGACCCTAAATTTGTATCAATAAACCAAGATTCATACCAATGCAAAGTATTCATCTCTAAATCATGTCCCTCTTTAAATAAAAGCAAACATTTTAAAATAATCATTTTGAAAATTTGGCCATAGTTTTCTACAAACTGCTTCCGGTTGTTTATTGGGTGAAGTATTTTTAGGGTTCATGGAGACCTTTCAGGGGGTCTTGTTCCATCAAATCACATTAGCCTGAAAGAAATCCATAGGTTCCCATCCACTGTGGAAACAAAAAGAGAACCTCTTTTCTGAAGTAACATATTCTTAGACTCAAATTCTGAAGTCAAGATACCTTTAATATATACATGTTGGTTTAGCTTAGCAGCCCATACAATGAAATATCTCTCTGTACTTAACTATTCATAGTCAAAAAATTCAAAGAAAACATGATAATATGCATAATCCATACTCTATGTATTTTCCATCTTTACATGGCTTATTTCTTTTTCACTCCCTTTACTCCTTTAATCTATGACTGTCTGTATTCCTTTTCATGTTACTTTTACTGTCTCTTCAGACTTTTAGTTTTTAAAACCATCTATACTCTTTCTCTTCTCTCTACCAAGCCTATGTACATTTTTTTCAAACACACTATGATCTATTCAGAGGTTTATTTCTGTCCAAATCTGTCTTTATTGCATACCTGTAATCATTTTCGGACCAGAAGAATTTTTAAAATAGTAAGCAGCTTGATTGCAGTAGCTCTCGATTCTGGCTTCACCTCTTTTAGCCTTTCAATATGTTGGAAGGACATTTACCACCAGTTCTACAAGCCATGCTCACTGCCCCAGCTCCAGGGACACAGCTGATCTATGTTACCCTTAATCAACATATAGCACTCTGCTCACAAACCCTAAATGCTCTGTAGAAGGATCTTCCAGAAGAGCCAGAGCCATTCATTGCTGCCAGTACAAACCAGGAAGCTGTTCTTAAAGGAGCCATGCCTTTGCTTGTGGTCTGCAAGTAGAGCCTATCTGAAAAAAAAATGTGGCTACCAAGAAGCTGCATTTGACTCCAATTTTTGTGGGTCTAGAAGCCTCTTTTTTCTTAGGCATTTTAGGTCTTATGTGGATTCATGCCCCAGACTGTGGGTGCCATTTTGTAAACAGAGACTGCTTGTTTTTTTCGCAGCCACCCAGACCCAAATAATCATAAAAAATTATTTTAATTACAACACTGTTTGGCCAATAGCTTAGGCATATTCCTAGCTAGCTCTTACATTTTAAATTAACCAATTTCTAATATTTTATATTTTACCATGACACTTGTGGTTTGTTACCTCTTGCTTCTTGGGCAACTGCAACCCCATGGTGTCTGCTTCCTTTGGCAGTTACATGGCATCTCCCTGACTCTGCCTACTCTCTCTGTATGTCTTTTCCAGCCTGGTTATATTCTTTCATGCCATAGGTTAAAGCATTTTATTCATTAATCAATAAAAGCAACACATATACAGAAGCACATTCCACATCAGTTTAATGTTTCCTGTTCATCTCTGCTCCTGGTAACTTGGGTCATCTCTTCCTTTCTTTTGGTTAGTTGGGCCAAAAGTTTGTGTATCTTATTAGTTGGCCTAGTGTTATTTATAATAGCCCTTCCTCCTGTAACCCCTCTCTCCAGCTCTGTCTCTGAGACAGGGTATCACTATGTAGTTCTGGCTGGCCTGCAACTCATACTCCTCTCACCAAGGTATCCCAGGAGCTGTGATAACAGGTGTGTGCAGTGTACCTGCCTTGTTTTAATATTTACTTGTTACACCTATAGTGATTTCATCTCTTGCATTCTGATCATTTGAAATTTTAATTTTCTTTCTCTGTTTCATGACCAGTGTGGCTGTAGGATTTTATCTGTTTAATTAATTTTTTCTTTTGGAAAAACCAACTCAATTTTATGACTTTTTCCTGAATTCAATTCTATTTCCTTTGTTCATTTTACTTTGGGTTTGACTTGATTTTCTCTTTCTAGTTTATGTTAAAAAGTTTGGTTAATGATTTGGGAATTTCCAGTATTTAGAAAGAATATTTTAATTTATTCACTGACAGTTTCATACATGTAAATATTTTGCCTTTTATTTTTGAATACAGGCATTCAAGCATATGTAGTCAAGTCCTACAAACTCTGGTGTTGTTTTCATGTTAGTCCAGGGAATCTTTTAAACACACTGTCAGAATGACTCCATCTAATTCAGCAAGACATCACTTTTATGGTCTGCATATGCTGTTTAATTTTCTTTTTCATTTACACATATTTTTTTCTGAATAAACTGATACTTAAAAAATACTCACTTCTCTTTGTTATAGTAATAAGAAGCAGTTGAAGACTTTTAACTACTTATTTGTTATGGGTCTACTTAAGTTCCCGATCATTTATTATTGGTTTAGCATAAGTGGTTTGCATGAGTCTAGAAATTTGTTGATTTTTCCATTTTCTACTTAATGGAGTACAAGTTTTTAATGCATTCTTTTACAATAGTCTTAATGTTTTTGGTGTCTGTTGTAATATTTTTCTGATCATCTTTGTTTTGATTAATTTGGGTCTTCTCTTTCTTTTGGTGAGTTGGGCAAAGGGTCTGTCAATCTTAAATACTTTCTCAAAGAGCCAGCTCTTAGATTAATTGATTTTTTGTATTGTTTTCTTTGTTTCTTTTTCATTAATTTTTGCTCTGATTTTAATTTTCTTTCCCATCTACTGTGTTTGGTTTGTTCTTGTTTTTCCAAATTCTTAAGTTGTATCATTAAGCCATGTGTTTCTGTGTTTAAATTTTTTCGATGTGAGTGCTTTTGAGCTATAACTTTTCATGTTTTGACAGCTTCTACTGTGTCACAGAGACTTTTGTTGTATGTGTGTTTTGTTTTCATTTTCATTTAGTACCAGGAATCTCCTAATTTCTTTCTCATTTCATCTTGGATCCATTCATCTTTCAGTAATGTGTTGTTTAATCTTCATGAGTTTGTGTAATTACTGGGGATTCATCGGGTGTTGGTTTTAAGCTTTATTGCATCATGTTCAGAAAAAAATAAATGGAATTATTTCAATTTTATGAATTTGTTAAGATTTGTTTTGTATCTCAGATTGGGTCAGTGGTGGCGCACATCTTTAATCCTAGCACTTGGGAGGCAGAGTCAAGTGGAACTCAATGAGTCGGAGGCCAGCCTGGTCTACAAAGAGAGTTCCAGGACAACAAGGACTGCTACACAGAGAAACCCTGTCTTGAAACAAAACAAACCAAAAACCAAAACAAACAAAAACAAAACAACAACAACCAACCCCCCCCACCCGAAAAACCTCAAAGATTTGTTTTGTATTTCATTATGTGGTCTATTTTAGAGATGTTTCCATGGGCTGTTGAGTAGAATATTTATTTTTTAGTCTTTGGGTTGAATCTTCTTTAAATATCTACTAAGTCCATTTGACGCACATTATCATTTAATTATGATGTTTCTTCCCTTATTTTATTTATTTTGTTTTTTTTTGTCCAGATAGCTTATCTACTGGATAAAGTAGGGTACTGAAATTATCCTCTGTTATTAAACTGGAGTTTATTTGAATTTTCATATGCAGTATAATGCTTTTATGAAATTGAGCTCATCAGAGATTGGGGCATATATGTTTAAGATCACAATATTATCTTGGTTAATTGTTCACTTGACTAGAATTTCTGTTCTGATTAGTTTTAGTTTGGTTTTGATTTTGTTAGATACTAGGATAGTGACAGATGCTTTCTTCTTGATCTCATTTGCTTAGAATACTTCTTTTCATCTTTTGACTTTAAGATGTTACCTGTTTTGAAGGTAAACTGAGTTCCTTGTAGAAAACAGACAGATGAATTTTGCTTCTTAATCCATTCCACTAATCTTAGGTGAATAGGGAGTTGAAGCTACTGATATTTACATTTATTACTGAAAGGTTGATTGATATAATTTTATTATTGTTATTATTGCTATCTGTGTTGTTAGTCCTATATTGTGTTATAGTAATTATAGCTTTGTTCTTTTTCTATACTCTCTTGAATGCTTATTCCTGTCTTCATCCTGGAGTAGGACTTCTAGAATTTTCTGTAGGGCTGTTTTGGTAGACATAAATTCTTTTAGTATGTTTGTATCTTGGAAAGTTTTGCTTTCTCCAATTATGGCGGATAGTTTGGCTGGTGCAGTGTTCTATGCTGACATCTGTGATCTTTTAGAACTTGAAGTACTTTATCCCCCACTCCTCATCAAAGAGACTTTTTTTTTAAGTAGACTGAAAGCCATAACTGGTCAAAATGCATAGAAAACTGACCAGGGGCTGCCCAGCCCCAGCTGACAGATATCACCAATAACATAATCCTAGCACCTGAGGCTTAGGGAATATTTTGGAAGAGGGGGCAGAAAGGTTGTAAGAACCAAATGATCAAGGTATCTGTTGTGAAATAGTGTCTTCTGTATATTGCATCTATGAAATCTCAAAAATAATGTTGCCTAAACAAGACCTGCACAATGTGGATGGAGAATATCTCACAAGACCCTAGATGAAGAGGAACAGACAATTAATAGCTACTAGGAAAAGAATAATCAGTCTTTTCCAGGGACAAGTCTTCAATAAGTAATCCAACTGGTCATTCTGTAACAGATATATATGAGTCCATATGAATGGACTCAGCATGTTGTATGTATGTATGTATGTATGTATATACATATATATATTTAAAGAAGTCATGAGTTTGAGAGGAGTTGGAAGCTTGCAAAGAGTTAGAGGTTGAAAATGATGTAAATACAGTACTCCTCTGTAAACACCTTGCTACCAATTAAGTTAAAAGGGAGCAGAAGCAAAAAGACAAGATGGAGACAATTATATAGAGTCAGTTAGGAGAGGGTTAGCTTGAGAAGGAAGGCTACTATCTCAGAAGATGCCATGACCTGTTGGAATACCGTGGGACAAGCATTTAAGGAGATTTGTTTTTAGAATATTTCAAATGGTCTGAGTTCAGTTAGGTTTCACCTGAGTTCAAGTACTCAAAATTTCATTCATGTATTGCTTTGAAATTTACCGTCTTGCCTGTCGTCTCTACCTGGGAAAGGTGTAAGACAGTCATGGTATACCAGCCACCTGTTGCTTCAGTGCTGGAGATAGTGAAGGATGGAAATAGCAAACTGTTTTCTAAGTCCACACAGGTTCTGATGGGGCAGAATTCCAACGCAAGTACTTTGAGTTGAAACCCTTTCCCTTCTCTATATAAGCAGATTTTGCAATATGGTTTCTGATCAGCAGCATGAGTTTCCCCTGGGAACGCATTAGATAGCCGAGTCTAATCTCTCCCCTAGACCTTCTGACTAGAAACCCCGAGGGTGAAGGCCAGTGACCATTCCTGAGCCCAAAGTGGTTCTGATGCTTATTCAGGTTCCACACCACATTCTGGTTCTTCACCATGACCTCAAAGAGAATACACACAGATGTGTGTATCCTGCTAACCTGAGTGATGGGGTTTGTAAGTGTTCCGGGTAATTCAAAATGTAGCCAGGGCTAATCACTGCCTTCCACTGTGTGTTACTATCAACATAATGTAAAATTTTGTCAGATTAATGTCATGGCATTCTTACATGTGACTGTCTCTCCAGGTGATTACAGTCAATACCTGCTATCAAAGTGACTCATTGAATTCAGAGACAGGAGAAGCAAACATCACTGAACAGTACGGCAAGAACTGGCTCTCCGTGTCCAACTTCAGCCAGTTAAGTATGTGCTTTGTAGTCTTGGACCCCAACATCTGGCTGAACCTTCTAAGGCATCTAGGACAGTGGTTTTCAACCCGTGGTCCCCGAATCTTTGGGGGTGTGGAACAACACTTTCTTAGGGGTTACATATCAGATATCCCACATATCAGATATTTGCATTATTATTCATAACTAGCAAAATTATAGTTATGAAGTAGCAACAGAATAATTTTATGGTTGGAAGTCACCACGACATGAGGAAGTACATTAAAGGATCGCAGCATTAGGAAGGTTGAGAACCACTGGTCAAGAGTGTTGCCTTTAGACCACAGGTGGTTTCTGATTTTCTTTTGTTTAGAGATGAGCTAAGGAGATGGCAAAAGCCTCTAAGGGAAACAGTTCTTTGTTGCTTGTAATGCTTATAGAAGAGACAAAATTTCATTTACTTAAAGGAATTGCTATCAGGATACAGAAAAGAAATACTAAAATTTAGATAATTTTTATATTCAAAGAGTTTCCCCCCAATTGGGGTCTTTCAGTCTGACTTATAGGGAGGGGAGTTTGCTTAATTTTCAGAATCCTTAAAGCTTGTGCAATACTGGTAAGAATCAGCAGGTCAGCCATTGTTGCTAATTTACTGTGGCCCACATGGGATGTTTATATATGGATGCATGTCCTTTACACTCAAAGTGCTGTGTGGGGAAGAGCCCCAAACAAGACAAGGCATGAGACATTGGGTGAGATGAGGAAGATTATGAGCAGAAACACTTACAAATGCAGATTCTAATTTTGTGCACTGGAAGTACTTTTGAAAAAGAAGGCACTGGTACATACTGCAGGGTCTTGTACTTCTTCATAAACCTTCCTCACTCAGGTACTCTGTGGTCCTCAACTAAGTAGGACATTTTCACAGCAACTCCAACCCCTGCACTCCCCAAGAGACATTGGGCAAAGTCTACAGACATGTTTTATTGTCACAATCAAAGGGGGTGCTCTTGGTACTTGGCAAGAAGAGGCCAGGGATGCTATGAGGCATCTTGTGACGTATGCTACAGATTTCAGGACAAAACATCAATGCCAAAGTGGGTGAACCCTGTTTTGTATTTAAAACACAGAACCCATTATGAAGCCAGTGTCAATCAAGTGGGCACAAAGGTAGAAATTAAATGGGTGGTAGTGGCACACGTCTTTAATCCCAGCACTCAGGGAGGCAGAGGCAGACAGATCTCTGTGAGTTTGAGGCCAGCCTGGTCTACTGAGTGAGTTCCAGGACAGACAGTGATACACAAGGAAACTCTGTCTTGAAAAAAACCAATAAGAACTAAATGGGCACGACATTGATTTACAAGTATGGCTCAGGAGCTGAATTGCCTTGCCTTAACTCACCGTTTCCTGGAAACTGGACATTTACATATGTCAAACCCATGCATAAAACACGACTCCAGCTGGGCTGATGCCTCCCTGACAACAACATGAGCATGAAGGAGGCTGAGGCCAGAAGACTGTCTTCCAGGCCAGTCTGGGCTGGACAGTGAGAACTTTCATCACAGTCAAAATGGGAACAAGGCAGTAAGCAAGCAAAGTAAAAAGCCTGACATCAGTCTCGGATGAATCATAGTTATATAATGTAGTGTGTATTTTACAGATACTATAACCTGTGTTTAGTTTTTATTTTTTAGGCTCTATTAATTTTAGAAAGTGGGCTCACGATGATATTTCTGTACGTGTGTATAGCTTGCTTCCTTCATACTCACTTTGGCTCCCTTCTCTCGCCACCACCACCTCTCCTGCTGGCTCCCTTCCAATAGTTCCCCTCCTACTTTAATGCTCTTTAAAATCCAGAGTCCATAGATGAGAAAATACACAGATAGTTGTCCTACCCTGCCTGCCTTGTTTTGCAGACTATTATGACTTCTGTGTTTCCCAAATGACATTGTTTTCTTCTTTATGCCGAGTGAAACTCCATGGTACCCACCTTAGATCATAGTATGTCATTCTAAATATGTGTGTTCCTTCCCGTGAGACTCAGACAGAACGCTATGTGTCAGGAGGGTGTAGCAAGGCATTTTTTCCAAAGACAGAAAGTCTAAGGGAAACTGGCTGACCCCAGGGCCAGCAGATCTGGTGAGGTCTGGCGTCATCCTTGCAACGCATCTTGAATTGAGAAGCTTTGTTTTTTTTTTTTTGAAACACCTTACAAAATAATTGAAAATTAAGGAAATAAAATTTGGGGAGTGGCAAGCTTCTTCCTCTTCCTCTCTGAATCAGGGTCTCCCGTAGCCCAGGTTGGCTTCAAAGATAATGTGTAGCTGAGGATAATCTTGACCTCTGATCCTTCTTCCTCTAACTCTTAGAGCATATGCAGTGCTGGGGACTGAACTCAGGGCCTATGCATACAAGGGGCACTCTATAGGGGACTGAAGAACCCATGTATGCTAGGCATTCTGTCCAGGGGATAGAACTCAGAACCATGCATTCTAGGCACTCTATGGGGGACTGAACTCAGAACCCATGTATTTTAGGCTCTTTGTGGGGGACAGAACTCAGGGCTCATGTGTTCTAGGCTCTCTGTGGGGGACTGAACTCAGGGCCCGTGTGTTCTAGGCTCTCCATCAACTCTACCAACCCCAGTTCTCAGGTAGTTCCCATTATACAGTCACAAAATTTCTAAGAAAACTATGAAAAGATAAAACATGTTTTTCTATAAATTTTTGTTTTAATGATAATACAGTTTTGCCATTGAAATTATATTTATTGTAATTTTTATCCTATGCCAGTAACTTCCTTTGTACTTCTTATATACTTTTTATGGTGCAAAATCACATGGGAAAATATGATTATTATCTCTTACATTTGTTACAGCTCAGCTCTGTAGATATCAGGTATAACAGTGAAATAACATCTCTCATTATCATTTCTAAGAAAAGTATAAAAATTAAGCCTAATCGATAGTTTTTGCTTTCCTCTCTCTTTTGTTGTTTTTGTACTTTTTTGTTTGGTGCCCTTATGAAGGAAGGATTACTAATTTATAACAAAACTTTCATATATTTTAAAGTATGGTAATAGAATGCAGAAGATGGCAAATGTAAAAAACTGTTGGATGTGTTTTCTAGATAAAAAAAAAACCATCATGGATTATCTAATTCCTGACTTTGATAGAGTAGTCAAAGCTAGGGTAGGTGTGATGGTTTGGTGTGTAAGGCGCTCATTGTACAAGCCTGAGGATGGCAGTTCAATCTCTAGCATCTATGCAAAAGTGGAAGGAGAGAAGGGGCTCTGCGGAGATGTCCTCTGACCTCCAAGTGCAAGGGCCATGTGTGCATGCCTTGCAAGAATGGTGAGCGCAACTAGAGGAGACTGGAAACAGAACATATAGTTTTCAATCCCAAGGGAAAAAAAAGGAAAAATGAAACTTGGTGAAACTTTCTAAAAATAGAGAAAACTATATCTAAGTTTAAATAAATGTACTGTGTCCAGATTTTTCTATTTGAGAAATGTGATTTGAATGTAACACATTTCAACCAATTTTCTAATTTTTCTTCTTCTTTTAAAAACAAGGTTTAGAACCTTATATATATCAGAAAATGAAAATGAAGGAAATTGAGCAGCATACCACACGAGCAAGCGACTACCTGAAGTGTTGTCGAGAGGTAAAAATATTTTGAAAGTCTTTTAAGAATTTGTGCACGCGCCACTTCGTTTGACTCTGCTGACTTTTCCTGTCACAGTCCATAAATGGCCTCTGTTTTTACTGGCCTTGGATTGAAATCCTTGGGGCCTGTGTGTTCAGGTCAGTCCTTGCTTCGTTTTCTAAAAGCCTTTGTTCTCTTTCTCGTGCAGTTTGCTTAGCACAAGAGAAAGAACTCACTTTTTTCAGATGTGTGACATGGTCATATGCAAGAGAAACAGGTTTTCTCCAGCATGCTTTTCAGAGGCAGATCTAGGACAACCGTGGGGGAATTAATGTTAGACAGCTGATCTAAGAAGAAACTTTTACCAGTTGGCACCCTTCCAGGATAGAATGATTGGTTCTGGAGACAATGAATTCCTCGTGGGATTAGTCTAGCATAGGCTGTGGGAATGTGTTCAGACCCAGGAAGGGGACTAAAGCATTGCAGATAGCCAGTTTTGCATTCGGCTTTTCTACTACCTCCAAATTGGTGTCTTGTCCTACTGCCGCCTTCCCATGTGGCATGTGCCACAGAGTAACCCAAGGAAACTAATTTTGGTCTTGGTTTGAATAGCTGAACTTGGGAATTATAAACCCTACCTATATAAATATCCTCAGGAGTTCTTGTAGCAATCTAAAGGAATCTAAAGAAATTAGAAAGTGCTCGCTTGAGGATGGTTGTGAGCAGCACCTGTGTTCACATCCCAATTCCATCATTTCCATCTGTCCCCACTAAAGCTGGATGGGTCAGTTAGCCTGTGAGGGTCTTTAACGATCTCCATGAGATGCTATTGTTACAAGATTGTCCGTAGTAGCCAACCAAGAGACCTCACAGGAAAATGCCTACTACAATGCCTGAAGTGTACTGTGTCTCAAGAAATATGGCTTGGATAAACAGGAAATAGGATGAGGTAAATCCGGGGTAATGCTCCTCCCCATCGCCATCGCCTAGAACTGTTGTGTACTTATGACAGGGATGCTATGATGTAATGGCTGATGTTTCTAAATACCTAGCAAAAAGAAACCCATGGGGCCAAACAGAGGCTGTTTTTGGCTGTTTGCGAGCGTCCAGGCAAGCATGGGCCTGGAAGGCCAACTGGATGTAGGAGTAGCAGAGAGCTGCGGTAGCTGGATGCTCGTTCACATGGCTCCAGAGCAGGATGCAGAAAGGGAATGCTTTCTCATCTCTGTTTTCAAGTCAGTGTGGAGCCCCAGGCCACGGCATGGTGCCACCCTCCTTCAGAGTGTGTCTTCCCACCTCAGTTAATCCTCTCTGGAAACGTCCTCAGAGTAACAGCCAGAGGAGGACCTCATTGTCTTAGTCAGCTTTCTATTGCTCTAATGAGACACCATTACCACCATTTGGTTGGGGTGGCTCGCTTACAGGTTCAAAGGTTCAGTCTATTATCACCATAATGGGGAGCATGGTGGCAGGCAGTCAGATATGGTGCTGGAGCTGAGAGTGCTACATCTTGACCAGAAGGCAAAAAAAAAGTCAACTGACTCACTGGGCAGTTTTCTGAGCATAGGAAACCTCAAAGCCTCCCCCACGATGACTCACTTCCTCCAACAAGGCCATACCCACTCCAACAAAACCACACCTCCTAATAGTGCCACTCCCTATGAGATTATGGAGGCCAGTTATATTCAAACTACCACATTCCACTCCTTGATCTTCATAAGCTTGTAACAATATCGTGATGCAAAATACATTTAGTCTAATTTCAAAAGTCCCCATAGTCTATCATAGTCTCCTGTTTTAAAGTCTGAAGTTCAAAGTCTCTTCTGAGATTCATGCAATCTCTTAACTGTAACCCCCTGTAAAAAAATCAAAATAAAAAAACAGAACACATGTTTCCAATATATAGTGGTATAGGATGTACATGACCATTCTAAAATTCAGGGAAGGGAGCACAACAAAGAAATACTGGACCAAAGCAAGACTGAAATCAGCTGGGCAAGCTTCAAACTCTATATCTCCATGTCTGATGTCAAGAAGCTCTTCAGATCTCCATCTGTAGAGCTCTGTTGACGGAAACACACTTCTTTCTCTTGGGCTAGTTCCACTCCCTGGTAGCAGTTCTTCTGAGCAGGTATCTCATGACTGGCATCTCTAACATCCTGGGTTCTCCAAGGCAATCCAGGCTTCAACTTTACACCTTCACACAGTGGCCTCTCTACTAGGTCTCCATTCACACACACCTGGCCTCAGTGGCTTTAGTTCATAATTCATTTCTTCTATCCTTAACTCTGAACCCAGAGTCATGTAGCCAAAGCTGCCAAATTCTGCTGCTTGATGGGGTTGGAACATGATCCCCTCTTTCAAATACATCTTCACCAGCTTTCTGTCTTTCACTGTCTAAGCTTACTTGTTCTGAAACTTGTTATGTAGTCCAGACTAGCCTCAAACTAGACATCTGCCAGCTTCTACCTTCCCAGTGTATGCTCCTCAACACCTGGATCTAAGCATTTTTTTAAAGTTCCTTTTCACAAGTTGGAACCGTAGCTGGGTGGGATCTTGCCAAGGGGTCACCACTCCCTTTATTCCATTTCTTAACCCGTTTATCTCCTTGAACACATAATTTATCTCTATTCCACTTCCTGTTGCCCTTTTTCTCCTCAAAATTTTTATTTTGCAATTTACCCTGCTCAGCTTGCTTCTCCTCATTATAAATCTTCATTACAGTTACTACTAAAAAAACATGGCAGAGTCTATATTAGGCTGTTTTGAGATTTCCTCTGCCAATTGAAATTAACCCAAAATTCTTTACTTTATCCTCAGGTAGATTCTTCAGACAAAGGCAAAAAAGACAGTTACTTTGTGCACCAAAATATGACAGGAATGATCTTTAGGCAGCACACTAAAATTCTCCCCCTACCCCTGAAACCTCTTGTGTCAGTCTTCCATTGTTCAAATAATTCTTAGCACCACTGTCTTCTATGCTCTTAATAGTACGGTCCATTCACCACTGCTTTCTAAACCCAAAAGTACCAAAGTTCAAATCCCTCCAAACACACACACGGTCAGGCCTATCATAGCATTACCCCACTTCTGGTACCAACTTCTGACTTAGTTCGGTTTCTATGCTTCCAAGAGACACCTTAACGGCAGCAACTCATAAGGAAAACATTTAATTGGTATGGCTCACTTACAGTTTCAAAAGTTCAGTCTATTATCATCATGACAGGTAGCATGGTGGCAGGCAGGCAGATGTGATGTTGGAGCTGAGAGTGTTGTATCTTGACCAGAAGGCAACAGGAAGCTAACTGACACACTGGGCAGTATTCTGAGCACAAGAAACCTCAAAGTCTGCCCCCATAATGACTTACTTCCTCCAACAAGGCCATACCCACTCAAACAAAGCCACACCTCCTAATATTGTCACTCCCTATGGGGCCTGATTACATTCAAACTACCAGATTCATTAATGCCCTATGTGTTTTTTAACATGTTAAGTTGATAAAATTATCCATTGTATGTGCCAAGTAGGACCTCCATTACTACATTCAGACAATTAGCTGATTAATCTCTATTTCTGTAAAAATTTTCAGATGTTGCATTTTCCTTTCAGTGTCTCTAAAAAAGTAATTTCATTCAGTTAAAGCCATCAACTATGGGGCTTCCCTGATGACATGTTGACATTATGGATCATCCTAGCTTGTGTTTCCCTTATCGACTTAAAGAGAGGTACTGAGCCAGTCAGAGGAAGAGTGTGCTTTACTGATGGCCCACTAAAAGGATGGGGTGGGTGTGCTGGTTGCATTCATAATGTCCGTTCCCTTATGCTCAGGACCCACATGAAGACCCTTCATGGAGTCCCAGGAACACCAACCTCAGCAGGAGTTTTCTGTGAGTATTTCTGTGTCGCTTTTAACAAGAGCTTCTGGATCCTTTCCTCCAAAGATAAGGAGCAAAAGTTTAGTTTGGTCAGAGTAGGAAGAAAAAAGTGCATGCGTGGTGACATTATTTTTCTTATTTTAGCAAGAATGGAAAAAAATATTCCCCAAGTTTTCCAATGTCTAGTAGGAGTTCCTCACCCAAGTCCCTTTAAGAATATAGTGATAAAATGTATACTTTGACAGTCGACTAAAAATTCCTTTGTAAACTCAACAAAAATAGTAAAAAAGAAACATATGGAATACCAAATAGAAAAAAATTCCTTTGTAGTATCAAAAAGTTCACACATGAATTGATATATCTTTTCAGATAGTAAGGTTATGAATGTGTTTACAGTGTAAAATACATGTGTTTTCTCTTAAAACAAACAAGCCTGAAGGCCTGTTTAAATTTATTTTATATTTTTAGAATGTATATAAATAAATTAGGTATCTATTTTTATTTTATATATTTTCTCTGCATATATTTAAGCTAACGTGTGTGCAGTATTCATGGAGGCTAGCTGGGATTTCTTGGATCTGGAGTTATGGACAGTTATTATCAACCAGGTGGATACTTGGAACTGAGACTAAGTCTTCTGCAAGAGCAATAAGTGCTCTTAACCACCAAGCTTCACTCCAGGCCTTGTTCGCTAGATTTCAAAACCCATTCTCCCCAGTGTGTTCCTTTGACAGATGGGCTTGGTCTTTGTTTCCTCATTTTCAGTGGCACTCCAATTGTCAAGGCATCCACTCTGACAAGGATTGAGAGTGAGATGGGAAGGAGAGAATCTGGCAGTAGAATTGAGTATATTCCTGAATTTGGTTTATTAGGAGAAATAGAATTTGAAACTCAACCAAGTAAAAATGATTCCATTTTTTTAAAAGTATTTTTTTTTTTTCAAGAGACATGGTCTCATGATGTTGCCCAGGCTGGCATAAACTCCTGGGCTCAAGTGATCTTCCTGTCTCAGTATCCCAAGTAGCTAGCATTGCTGGTGTTTGGCTCTGTGCTGCTGTGATGGTTCCACTTCACCTGTAGGGTGTGTGTGTGTGTGTGTGTGTGTGTGTGTGTGTGTGTGTGTGTGTATGTGTGTGCTTTCCTCCTTACAGCATCAGTCATCTACAAAGTCATGGGGGGGGGGGGGGGGGTAGAGGGAAATCTCCCTGTGGGAAGACCATTTGATGTAAAGAAAGTAAAAGATGACTTTTAGTTATGATCCTCAGCTCTGTTGACATGGCCTTTCTTGGGAACTGCCACCACAGCCCCATGTAAGCCTGCTTCTAGACCTAAAGGATACATGACTTTCTTCTCCCAAAGGTTCAGTAGTTTGTGCTCATGCAGGGTGGTGGGTTATTGCAGCATGAAATTAAACAATAATTGTAATTGTACTTTCCTCCCCAAGGACCTTAAATACTGGAGATATTCTTTGGATGCATGTTTTCAGACTTGCCCGTGGCCACCTGTGCACTTGAGCAGGACAAGGAACAATTTAAAGAGAGCTAATTCCAGCCTGTGAACACTTAGGGGCCACGTGGGCTAATGAAACTGATTTGTGGTCTTGTCCAGAGTCATTCTCAGACTCATTTGTAGGCAGCTGCTTTGCATAGTTCAGGCACCCTTTCGTTTAATTGATCCAGAACAACACAAACACAGTTAAATCTTATATATGTTATGTGATCACACAGCTAATTAAAACCACTAATACCACCATTTCTCAATTAGCTTGGGGCATAGATAATAAGTGATTTACATGCCTTACTGGCATTATTTTGTGTGTGTGTGTTGTGAAAATAATTGTATGGCTACAAACGTCTTTATTGTTAAAATAGGAATAAGATGGAACAGAAAATTTCATACACATATGTGAAATTTATATTATATAAGATATAATAAAATGTGTATATATATATATATATATACACTCTTTATTTCTGTTTCAGATAATTTTTCAGTGTTTTGGAAATTAAAAGATTTAAAGCAGCATTTTCTAAATCATTTTATTTCCCCCCAAACAGAACAAGGAGCTCAAGTGAAATTGACAGTAAGTTTTTATATTTAAACATTTATTTTTAATTTTTAATTTCATTGATGATGGAATTCATTGTCCTGTTATGAATTTTATAATTCCTGACTTTTATTCTTTTTGTGTTTTTTGTTGTTGCTTTTGAGATACATATAAAGCAGAAAATTCAGTAGAAAAATAGAGATAGCCCAGATAAACCAAGACTGATGTGTGCTCTTGTGTTTTTGTTTTGTTTTATTTTGGTGATTCTGAGGCTCAAGTCCAGGACCCTGTGCACTCTAGGCAAGCACCTTACCCACTGAGCTACATCCCCAGCTTGAGATTCTTTGAGTAACCTGTTTCCACTGTAACGTCCCTGTTGTTTCTCTGCATGAGAGCAGACCCACTGAACTCACTTTGACTCTGCAACAATTAATAGTGTCATATTTTACAGACATAGAGTCAATCACATGCTTGCACATGGAAGTTTCCTTTGATATAATTTCCAGGAAGCTGCGCCACAAATGTCTGAATAGGACCTGGTCACAAGGCCAGCTTCTCTCCATGTGTTCTTGCTCTTTCTCTGACTGAGAGTACTGGGCAGTCTGGCATGTGGTCCATCGGTGCTCAGTAACTATGTGTTAAATAAATACCACTAAGGTCTTGAAGCTCCTTAGATGCTGAAGTTTAAACTGAAACCCACCAGATGACTGCGATCTTCCATCGTCCAGTTAGCATTAGGGAAATCCATAAGCCTTGGTATGCCATGGTTTATTGTCGATTAGCAAACTGTATGGTAAGAGTTGCATGATTTTTTCTTGAGTCCACTGCATTTACCTTTCTGAAGGGTGAGCACCTTCTCCTAGTCCCTTCTCATGCCTAGTGTGACCCATAGTAGGAGCTAAAAGTCTATGTTACTGACTGAATTCAGAAATGGAAGCCTTTTCTGCCGACCATAGGTCCCAGCATGCCCCCTCAAAGGACGCTTGTTCCCTTCATTATGTGGCAGCAGGAGCCAGAGCGCTCTGTAAACCTAGGCTCACTTGGCTGCTTACTCTAGTAGGTGCAAAGCATTGGCTGTTGTGAGACTCAAGTTTCCCCCCTTTAATTTTGATTTTCATGGAACAGCAAAATTGTTTCAAAGGATGTCTCTGGAGCCTTATGATTTCGGGCTGGAACAGATAGAAAAGCGGAAGTTTACCATTGGAGGGGGCGTTCCCTACATAGGGTCCTGGTATAGCTTAGCACATGGCACGCTGCGATACTAGCCACCCTCTCCTATGTGTCTGGCATATACTTAATGTTCTGTCATTAGTTTCAGTCAATGAGCTAGCATGCTAATAAGTTGGCATTAATATCGTCTTTGCATGGGTAGGTGCATCTTGGCAAGGAGCTCAGAGGACCATGCTTCTGGGATGTCATGATAGGCAGCTGTGTGCCTTCTCTAACCCAGAGGTGTAATTGGTTCAAAGGAAATACATCTTTGAGGCTAATATTACCTGTCTTTCTTCAATTCCCCCTATAAATATGCTTGGAGATATTGCACTGATGATTGGAAGCTGTCAGGATACCATGAACAATAATGAGTTAAAGGGTATTTATTGGGTGAGCTTTTCTGAATAGCGAGCAGCTATTCTGATGAAGCCATTTAATAGCAACTTTGAAGGCTGTGTACAAACATGTATTTATCTGCAGCCAAGTAATTAAAGTGCCAATCATTTCTATGATTTCAGAGATCTCGGCCTCCTTAAAGAGCCCTCAAGAGCCTCACCACCATTATTCAGGTAGGAAGCAGGTGTACAGATGGGTCATCGGAGCTAAATGGGTGTGATTCTGCCTTGTAAACACGAACATCCATCAACTCCACATTATCAATACAGCGCCCAATTCAGAAAATTGTTCACTCTAACAGTTAGAACAATTAGATTTCCCAACCATGGCCCTGACTCAGAAAAACAAATTGTTGGGATTGAAGAGAATTCACAAACAAGAAGTTTTGAAAGAGAAGATACCTTTGGTGCCTAAAATTTCCTTGCAAGCTCAGTGCTGGCCAAAATCCAAATATCTTAGTGTTTTGAGCAATGTCCCTTGTACTGTGCCCTTTTTATTGCCATGCTGGGGTTTGAACCTAGAGCCTTGCTGGACAAGTATCTCTCCCTGAGCTATACCCCAGTCTGATCTGAATGTTTCGGATCAGGAAAAGGGCAGACTTGAAAGTCCTCAGTGAACTTGAAGGTTCCCTCGGCAGGCACAACCACTGAAAGGATGCCATCTCGCACGGCATTAAGGCCAACAAACATGCCTTGCAGAGATGCCATTAAACAGAGATGTCAAGGGGCTCGACTCTGTTACTGAGCCAGGCTTCACAGCCCTTCAGTTGTCTTTCTTTCAGAGGGGAAATGATTGTCCTTTCCCTCTCGGAGGGACAGTCTGCCAAATGGCTAGCCGAGAATTAAGAGGCAGATACTTTGAGATGCAAAGCAGCCTAGAGCAGCTGGACTTGTGCCCTGGTGTGGTTTCTCAGTGGTCACTGCTCTCGGTGGGTGAGCTAACGCAAGGACAAGGCTTTCACAGAGTCTAGCACTCTGTGAGCAAGACCTTGCCGGCACTTCAATGACCAGTTTTATTATATGAAGGTCATTTGTTTAGGGTTTCATTATAGACTGTCTCATCCTGAATTCTCCTCTGTGGTGAATAATGGTTCTGTGGACTCCAGCCTTCTCTTCCTAGGCTCCTATGACTGGGTCCTAAGCTCAGCAGTGATCTCTTATTTGGACTCTAACTGCGAGCTGTAGAGAGTCTCTGGTGAGGAATACTGTAACTCAGATGCACTGCACTCTGATCTGTTAGGCTCTGGCTCTTGACAGGAAAATGCAGATCATTTGCTTCTAATTAAAATTAGTGTTCCATTCTCTCTGGGATAAAGAAGGCCAGCTCTGCAAAACCGACAGTAGGTGTCCCCACAGACCACTGTGCGCTGGGTTTGCTGTGGGAAAAAGGAAAGCAGAGAATATGGAACATAGATTAAATCCATTTAAAAGAACGACTTAAGTATTATTTGAGTTAGTGTCTAATTGGTTATTTGCGAGAGTGAGAAGATAGCCCCTTCTTAGAAACATGTTACATAATTTCATGTAAAATTTCTTGAGAATAAGATATGCTCACTGTTTAAGGCATATTTTATATTTAAAACTATTATTTATAGTAGTTTTGCTAATGAAGAAAATAAAATGTTTGAAATGAAACATTCTGGAATTTATGTGTACTTTGGTATGTGGGGGCTTCCTGTAAGTTTAATCATTGATGTAGAACTAAAGTAGTCAATCCGTTTTTGTTTGTAGCCATTGAAAGGAATAATTTAATGAGGCTTTCTCAGACCATCCCGTTTACACCAATCCAGCTGTTCGGTGAGTAATATCCCCCTCCCTTCTTGAGGTTAGGCGAGGGCGGAGTGAATGCTGGCACACAACAGAAAGAAAAAACAACAACAAAAAAAAAAGAAACAAAAACACAATGTTGCTTCACTTGACTCACAGATTTCATTTTGGCCATATGGTCAACTAAGGAGATTCGTTTCCCAAAGTAGAAATTCTTGTTAACTACTGTGGCCAGCATTTGGGGTCAGCAGCTGATACCATGGGGATGAGACCTACAGGGGTCAGCAGTTGGGAAATCAGTGTGCTGCCGCAGCTGGCGGTCAGTGATTCTAGGCTGGACACACACAGGGTAGAAAAGAGCAAACCAACCTTGTATAATGGACAGAGAAGAAAGCGCTACATGGCAGTGTGCAGAAAGCTGACAGGTCTGGGAAGAGAAGCCCTTTGTTGTCTTACAGCTGTTTGGTTTGTTGCATGAACATGGATTGCTCTTTCTTCAAACTGCAAGTGTAGTTTTTTAAAAGCTGGAGCGGTAAAGAAAAACAAGTGTGTGTTAGCCAAGGGTATGGGAGTTTTTCTGCCTCGCAGGATAAAGCATGAGCAATTGACAGAAGAACAAAGGTGCCTACGCTGCCCGCCATCTTCATTCTCCTCACACTGTTCCAATGGGGAGAGCCCAGGTTGGCTTCTGATTGCTTATGCAGAGGCCTCCTTCTTCCCCTTGGCTCCAGGGCTCATTTTGCAAATCAATAGCTCTTCTCTAAAGCCTCCAGGAATTAGGACTCCAGAGAGCTCCTCAGTGGCATTCACTTGGGCATCAAGAGTAAACATTTGAGAATATACCACATGTTCTTCAGCTACGCTTATGGATAAGGAATTAGGAAGAAGGATGAGGCATAGATGGCTTCCCTTCTGGTAACTCAATACAATGTTCACAGAGAGCAAACAAACAAAGAGCAGCAGCAGCGACAACAACAAATGGATATTTGAAGCAAAGTGTAAGAAAACAATGTGTTACAACTTTGAGGGGAACTCTGTGGGGCTCGTTACTCCTCTCATGCAGCTATAACACTGTATCGGTGAAGTCCACGTCTGGCAATGACCCCTTCTTGCTCTCTACGCTCAGAGTGGGTGCTGTGTTGCGCTTGGGCAGTGGGTTGTGTCTAAAGTCCTTGGAAGTGGGGTTGAGTCTGTTTCTGAGATCCTAGTTTGCTGCAACCCTGATAACATGTGATCTGTACTTCAGACCACTGAAACAAATGTTATCTTTCCCTTTTACCAAGAGAGAGTTCCAGTAATTTGCTAATGAGCGCAAAAGAAAATAGTAGAGACTCAGACCTGAGTACTGAGTGATTCCCACTGGGGAAAACCCTGCATTATTAGTGAGGTCAAATTGCACTTCATGGAGCAAGCACAACAAGCAAAACCACTCCCAGAAAACAAAATCCATCATGTCCTTCATGTATAAAGCAAAGATACATACATAGCTCACAAAGAGTACACAGCGTATTTAATATTGTATGGAGGGCAGTAATAAAAGTGGTTGCTCCTTATAAAAATGACTAACTCCAGGTTAAACTGTCTCTAGAGATAGATTTGTCTTGAGCAGGTGTCATAGCATGTGCCTATAATCTCATCACTCAGGAGGCTAAGGCAGGAGGATCAGAAATTTGGAGCTAGTCTGGGGTATGTAATGATTGCTAGGTCAGTCTTAGTTGTTAAGCAAACCATGTCTCCAATAAAAAGTCTAACAATGGCTGAAAGGTGGTGGCGCACGCCTTTAATCCCAGCACTTGGGAGGCAGATGCCTGCGGATCTCTGAGTTCGAGGCCAGCCTGGCCTACAAGAGCTAGTTCCGGGACAGGCTCCAAAGCTACAGAGAAACCCTGCCTTGAACCCGCCCCCCGCCCCCCCCCCCAAAAGAAAAGTATAACAGTGGCAACATATCGATGCTGTTCTAATATTGTTTTTGTCTAATTAGTTTATAACAAGCACAACTTAATTTTTTTATGCTGTTTGAGGCATCATTGTTCTTCCTCTCCCTCCCCACCGTCATCAGACGACAAGTCAGATCCATTTGTACCCTGACCTTTTTTTGGCTCCTGCTAGTTGCATCCTCTGATCACAGCGACAATTGAACTGCGCCTGAGTTGATCTTCAGGGCACCAGTCACACCCCAGACCTGCTGTTTTATTGAACTGGCTATCCCTTCTTACTGCAGCAGGAGAAGAGGTGACCATCTACAGGCTCGAAGAGAGTTCCCCTCTGACTCTCGATAAGAGCATGTCCTCTTGGTCCCAGCATGGGAGAGCTGCCATGATCCAGGTGCTGTCCCAAGAGGAAATGGATGGGGGCCTCCGCAAAGCCATGCGAGTCATCAGCACGTGGTCTGAGGATGAAGTTCTCAAGCCCGGGCAGGTTTTCATTGTGAAGTCCTTTCTCCCGGAGGTTGTACAGACGTGGTATAAAATCTTTCAGGAGAGCACTGTGCTTCATCTTTGCCTGAGGGTAGGTCTGAAGTTGAGAGACCCAGAGTCCAGATGGTCAAAAGAGAAGTGTAGAAGTCTGGCTACATCCTCACCTAAGATGGGTTTTCTTCAACCAAAGGGAGGTTGTTAGGTTTTAAAGGTGGTGGCGGTGTTTTATTCTTTTTGTTCTGTAGGACATTTGCTTTTGATGTATAGAGTCCTAGAAGTTAAATAATGTTAAACGTTTGGCAGTTGGGATCTGTTTGATCTTTAATAAGTAGAGTAAGTGAGTAAACCAATATTTTTTTTGAGAATTTCATTACAACATTTTCACCTCTTTCTTCTTCTCCAACACCTCCTTTGTCCCCCCATTCTCTCCCAAATTCTTTACCTCTTTTCCTATGATTATTATGGATAATTGATATTGATCTCTCTCTCTCTCTCTCTCTCTCTCTCTCTCTCACACACACACACACACACACACACACTACTGAGTTCATTTGATGTTGCTCTTACACATATGTGTTTAGGATTGACTGCTTGTGATTTAGATAACCTATCAGGAAGTTTGTCCCTAAACACCCCCACCACGTATTTGCTAAATATATATAAATATATTTATTATATTATATATAAATATAACATATATATATATACTTTAATCAATTCTTCATTTTTTTTCTTTTTTTTCTTTTTTTTAGGAAATTCAACAGCAAAGAGCTGCCCAAAAACTCATCTATACCTTCAACCAAGTCAAACCACAAACTATTCCCTATACACCGAGGTGGGTAAACCTGCCCCTGTGGTTCTTCATTATAAGAAGAATTCCATTTAACCTCTTCTCAGCCCATTAGACACAAGAAATACCAGACTCAAGGGAATGTTCTCCATGACCATTTTCAGGGTTCTTCCTTTCATAGTTATACAGACTGGTATAAAGATAATTAAATGTTCCAGACATACCTGGGTTTCGGTTCCAGAACTTACGTGAGTGGAAATGAAGTTCAGACAGATCGACGACAAACATTTCAGATAGGTGAGACAGGCAGATGCTGGATGTAGTCGCTAATATCTAGGGGTATTATGGCCCCAAAACATGTCTATTTAAAGCTTAGCTGTCTCCTTAGCATCCTAAACCAATTAGGAAGCTTGCAATCACGAACCCTCCTTATTTTCCCTTGGGTGTCTTAATATGCTTATATTCACATATCAAGGCAGATCATAATTTCGTGCTGAGAAATTAGAATAAAACCCTTTCCTCTATTTTACAAGAAATTTTATAGAGCCCAGCATGAAAAGTTGGATCCGGTACTCAGAAAAAAAGTTGGCAACTTTTCTCAAAGAAAAGGGAGGCGAGCAAGCTTGGGAACAAACCTCCCAGTTGTGGTGTTTCCTCTGTCCACAGAAAGGCCAAGGTCAAATGACATTTGTGGCTGAGTGTTCTGAAGGGTAACTGCTACGCTTCCTTTCTGGTAGGAGTGGATCATTGGATTCTCTTTTCCTCACAGGTTTCTCGAGGTTTTCTTGATCTACTGCCACTCAGCCAACCAATGGTTAACCATTGAGAAGTACATGACAGGGGAGTTCCGGAAATACAATAACAACAATGGTGACGAAATTGCCCCCACCAACACCCTCGAGGAGCTGATGTTGGCTTTCTCTCACTGGACATATGAGTATACCCGGGGAGAGCTGCTGGTTTTAGATTTGCAAGGTAACTAATTGACGATGCAGGAGGCAGAGTTCCTAGACATCTCACGAGAACTAGGGTGGGCATGTGGAGCTGTTGTACCCAGCTTGGTAGAGAGATACAGGCATTTAGTTCAGAGACATTGTGTGATAACGAGCGTGAGTACCCACTCTGCTGTATTCTACGTAGCCAGAGGGGGGAAATATAGGCAGAGAGTTAACTATTTCCATCTTAAAGATTTAAGTAGGTGGGGAATGATTTTTGTATCATTTGTTTTAGTGTTAATCACTTTGCCTTGTCTTCTGCTTACCAGAAACATCAACTGTATATCTATATAAATGGGAAAGCTTCAATTCTTGATAATTTTCATTTTTTTAGTTTACTGCCTTGCCAATTTATAATTTAGTTTGTTATGTTTGATGTATTCCTTGATATGACAATTTAGTTCAGGGAAGTCCTTGGCTCCAAGACAGGGCGGGAGTATACTCTTGTTTAATGAAGCCTTTGATCAGTGTATCGCCCATAGTCAGCACCTCCTGCCAGAGAGATGTCTAATCCCACAGCACACTCAGTGTGTCTCAGGAGGTTTTCCTCAGGAGGAGGGCACAGAATATGAGTTCTGGCCAAAGTTCAGTTCTTGGGCTCATGAACTGGAGCCTTGGATTCAAATAAGGGATCTGGCCCAGACACGTCATACAAGTTACCTCATTTAACCCCAGGAGCAGCACACTGAAGTATATATCACTGGGAATTTAGGACCAGAAGGTTTAAATAACTTGCCTCAGGTTGCACAGGTTTTCAAGGGAAAGTGGGATGTGGACTTCAGCTGGTGTCTTCCTACATATCCTTTTCTCCTTTCTAAGCCACAGGATTTCTGTAAGAGTGTCATTCTGAGAGGAAATGACCATCTTCGGGTATATTTAAACAACATGAACTTTCTTTTTTTTTTCTGTTCTGATTTTCCTTTCTAGTTCTTAGCAAAACCAGGTTTGAGGCTGGGGAATGCTGAACTTGACACTCCTAGGGCATCAGGGGCAACGTCCAGGACTATTGCAGTCACTTGGAAGTCTGTGTCACATGCTCAGTGATCCATCCACACTTAAAGCATTGCATGTATTACTAAGCACATCTGTCTTTTGATATTCCTGGTGTTCTCAAGGCTGGGTTATATTTCTAAAACTCAAAAACAATTTTTCAGGAAGGAATATAAACTGAATTAATGTGAAAAAGAATCCAGCTTTTTATACCAGCAAGCACTTGATGAAAATCGGCCGGGAGTGGGGGTGCCAACGGCATCTGTTTTGTACTTCTGGCTGGAGAGACATTGATTGTTTTCATCTGTGCTCCACTGTTTGTGTTTTTGCTTTGAATTTTGGGTGGAGTTGTTTAAAAAGCAAAAACAGAAACAATAACAACAAACAACCAAAGAAAAACTTTAAGGAATTAATGACGACTCTTCAGTGTGTTTTGTATTTCACTTGAATAGGGTTTTGTTTAATGATGTTTATGTTTGGGGATTTTTATGTTTCTTAGTAATCCAGAGTGACATTAAACAGAACAAATGTTGCGATTATAGTCTTGGAGGGAAAAGGGAATTAACTTTATTCTTTTCCTGGGTAATTATGTGAATTGCTGAAATAGGTCCCTGCAAGTCAACTATGTCAAAACATCGACCTTCAAAGAAGGCCTGAGTGGACATCACAGAACCACAGGCTAGGTGTTATGAAATGCATGAAACTTATCAGAGAGCTAGATAATTGTCGGTCTGAATTCGTGGAAAAACATGAGTCCATACCAATAATTATAAAGTTATAAGCTGTTGCTAGTTAACACAGAACAAGGTTGGAGAGGAAAATTGTGTTTTTAAGATTTTTTGGCTTACATTCTAATGCCCTTTATTTACTAGTATTTCTAGTGTCTGGAAAGATGATGCATTCTGCCAGGCCCCACTGTGAATTGCTTGTATGTCTTGAGGAGCAGCCACCTTGAGTCCCACCTCCCTTAGCTGTAAAGGGGAAAAAGAGTATCATGCCTTTAAGTCAGTTGGTTATTAAATTCCTAAATAGGTCAACTGAGGCAAGTTCTCCACATGTATCAAGCCCTTGATAAATGTCACCTGCTGTTGCCAGTGAGTAGTAACCCTTGAATGGCTCTTTGAAGTGGAATTTAAGCTTTAGGTACGGGGAAGCTATCCTTAACTGTTTGACCCCGGGGTACCACAGGGAGACCCCCCCCCTCTCCATTTCAGACCCTACTCATTGCTGCTTTGAGAGGAAGAAGGGTGAAGAAATACTTGGGCAGTTGGTCTTTTACTGTTTCCCTTTTTCTTATTTCATTTTTCCGAAAAGAATGAAACCCGGAAACAGCCATAGCATTCTAGGAAGCTGAGCTCTGAGGAGAGGTGTGACCAATTCCCCATTATTTATAAGTCTAATGAAGTTTTCTGGTCTTTTTCCACTTCAAAATCTTACATGGGAAGACTTGAATCATCATCACTGCATTTAAAGTCCAACAGTTAATTCCCAGCAATGGAAATTAAAAACAACTGTATTCCAAATTAGAACAATGTTTAGTTTTTTTATTCTATCTTTCAGTGGACTTTTGGAAATACAGTCCTAATTTTTGGTTCAATAAAGCAATTTCTAGAAAAAGTTAGCACCCACATCACCATGAATGATGTCACTACACAGAGGTGACCTGTTTTTATAGATTTGGGAATTGGAGGTCACTGGTGATGCCAAGTTGGATGAAGTTCCATGGATGTTTCTGGGCTTTCTCTAGGTATGGGTATTTATTCATAATGACACTAAGAAAGAGATCATCAGGATGTTTAGATATCCAACCAGCTTACTTGTTCTATATTTTGTAGATATCAGGAGAGTCTGAGCCGAGTTGTCTTGGGTTGGGTGCTCTTGGGTGGCTAGAAGAGCCTAGTGACTCAGCCTGGCAAAGTGATGTGGAGGGCATTGAATGGTTGGTCTTTGGGTACTTTTCACCTTGTTCATGGGTCATAAAGCCCTTCTTCCGTTAGAACACCTCAAAATAAGTAAGCTAAGTTTTATCATATAAAACATAGAGTTGTGCTTTAACATATAAAAATGTGTTGGTGTATACTCTTTAACCCCCTCTTTTAAGGTGTTCTTTAGTACTAGGAAACATACTTTTGGGGAATGAGAGATAAACATGGCTTTACTGCTGGTATGGGAGCTTCTAGATAGAATACAGAAAATGGAGTAACAGCTGACATTGGAAGCTTCTTATGGGTTAGATGCAGCTCATTGAATTCTCCCCTAGCCCTCTCTGATAAGACCAGGATGCTATACTCACAGATGACAAAAGTGGGATTCAGGGAGATTAAACAGGGTACTGAAGCCTTACAGCTAGAACATGGCAGAATTTGGAGTGGAACCTCTGTCTTTCTGTGTCTAACAAGCCACAGAGGTTCTGTAATAAGATTTAGACAAAAAAAAATTTAACTCTGTAAAGACATTTCTCCCCCCAACCCCCCCACCTAATAGTGCTTCTTCAGCTACTATATGTAGTCCTGGCTTAAATTTGCACTGTACTTAAACATAGGTTTAAAACTTTAGTCATTGCTGTAAGCTCCAGGCTTAAAGTTCAACCCATGCTTAATTAAAATGGTGAAGACTGCAGCCGTCAGCCTGTCTACCTGCAGCGCTGGGGTACACTTCTGCCTGGTATTTTGTTTGTTCCCTTCATGGCTGTAGAGAAGCAGGGGCTCCCTCAGCTGTCCCTCTTGTCTATGTGACGAGAAAAGTACAAAGAGCTCCTTCCCATGGCTTTGAAAATGTAAGGGTTCGGCAAGGTCTGCTTTTCACACTTGCCTTGTGTTTGTGGTTCAGCCCAAAGTTTTCTTGCCCTCTTCAAAATCAGCATGAAAACGTGCCAGGCTAGCGGTTGGGAAAGGGTCCTCTCAGAGTTTGGAAACTTTGATGAGAAACTAAGTTACACCTTATTGCCACTAACCCATAACTGGATTTCACCATCTCCCATTATTAGCCAGACAACAAGCCCACAGTGACATCATCATCCATGACTATCAGTAAGAGGAGCTGCAGATATTAACACGGCATCTTGCAATGCAGGTGGATTTCAAGACACAGTTTGCAATTACCATTTGTTAGATAAGCTTGTGGAAAACAGATGGGGTAGATCCTGTTATTGAATATACTATTAAACAAACACACTATGTATTGTAATACAGTAGTTAAAATGTTTTGCTAAAACCTTTTCAGGATGGATCATAGATTTCCTTTGCTACATATTTAAATCATACATGCTAAAATGTTGTTTTCCTGAGGAAATCAGCTTCTTAGCAGAAAACTTTATAAGGATTTCTGGTTCCTCTGAAAAGGTTACTATTCCAAGAGAGAGGTCACAGCAGAAATCTTTAAGAGATACTGCTTAGAAAACATGGCCTTTGTCTTTTTTAAAAAATAATAATTTATTTTTAAAATAAGTTTTTTAATTTTAATTAGAATATAATTGCATAATTTCCTCTTTTTCTTTTCCTTCCTCCAACCTCTCCTGTGACCCCTCCCTCCAAACCTTCCCATGTACCTCCCCCAATTCCCTCTCAAATTTATGGTCACTTTTCCTTTGATTATATATATGTAAAACATATATATTATATAATACATATAAATACAATGCATAAGCATGTAAATATAATCTGCAGAGTTCTTTTAGTTTTGCATGTATGCATGTGATTTCAGGCATGAAATTAGTTATTCTAATGGTATTAGTTAACTGACGTAGGGCTCGTCCCTGGAGAAGTCTAATGCTCTCTCTCTCTCTCTCTCTCTCTCTCTCTCTCTCTCTCCCAGCAGTCCTTAGTTTTCTGTAGTTCTTTATCTAGGGGTGGCATCCCTTGAGATTTTTCCCCTTTCACTTCAACAAAACATGAACTTTTCCCAACAAGTAGTAGTAGATAACAATATTCTAAAGTTCATATAACTTTTGATTCCTCACCTTACAAAGTCAGTGTTTTTCAAGCAGAGAAAAAGAGGCCCAGTTAGGGAAGGATCTCAGAAGTTGTTGGGGATGCCTAGGTGGCTCATCACTGTCTAACTGGCTTCTCTGAGCTGTCATCACTGTTAGACGCTAGCCTCCTCACTGCCTGAATTCATCACAGAGCTTTGCTCTGGGTATCAAGCCCAGTTTTGATTAAGTTCAGTCTTAGGTTGTGCCTCTATTATCTTTGCAGGCTCTGCTCTTTTCTTTTCAAAACTAAATTTTATTGAAGATACATTCTAAAAAGCGAACAGAGCGTAAGCACCCACCTCAAAGAATTTTCTCAACTGAACACACAGGTGGAGCCAGCTCTCAGATCAAGAATTTGGTGCCGTTTTATTCTGCTGTTTATAAGCACTGTATATATAGACAGAACATTTGATAGGTCTCTTTGATGCCTAGAAGCTGTATTTGCAAAACCTCCCAGGGCCTTGCCTTTGCTGAGCACTGATGGAGGCCATCTAAGGAGACCATGAACTAGTGGGAGGAACACAAGCATTGCCCCAGCTTTAATCCTGTTATGGCCACTTAAGGGATACACCATCTTTGGCAAGTTCTTCAATCTCTTTGAACATCAATGTACTTATTGATGTAAATGAGGGTGAGATGTAAATTGAGGATATGAGGATAATATTTTCTTTTCATGAGAATTAGAGAAAATACAGTTAGCTGTCTTAATGTATAGAACTGGTAAATGAAATGCCGATACACAGGTCTACTGAGAGATGCCACTATCAACAAATCTTATGACACCATTTGTAGCCAGATGTTCATTAATTCAGAGGAGATGCTGTATATTTTCCTACATTTCCTAAATAATTTTCATAGCACATTTAATTATCATGATTCTTTTAAATCTTACCTTCTACGGAGTGAATGACACAGGGTCTCACATTGTATATCAGGCTGGCCTAGAATTTACTATATAGCTCAGACTAACCTTGAACTGGTGGCAATCCTCCCACCTTAGCCTCCCTAGTGTTGGGTTTGCAGGGGTGAGTCACCATATCTGGTTTCAATATAACCTTCAAAATAAGGAAATGGATTTGGTTATTATTTTTCTGTGTTTCTTAGAAAATCAAACCTCATTTGCTTAACGAATTTCGTTTCTTCTTTTGAGGTGTTGGAGAGAACTTGACAGATCCGTCTGTTATAAAACCTGAAGACAAACAGTGAGTTAACTTATGTGTTATAATTTAGAAGATTGCACTTCAAGTTGTTCAAGTTTGTAACATTATTTTTAATTGTTGCATAAAGATATAAGATTATATGTATTAAGGAGTATCATGTAATGTTTTGTTATCTGCATAGATTATATAATGTTCAATGGTTCTTTTTTCATAACTTAAAAACTTGGTTTACTATTACATCTAAGGGTGTTTTGCCCATATGTATGTTTATGCCCCATGTGAGTGCCTGGTTCCACAGAGACTAGGGGAGGGCATTGGATCGCCTGGAACTGGCGTTATAGATATTTGCGAGCTGCCATTGTAGGTGCTGGAAATTGAACCCTGAGTCCTCTGGAAGAGTTACCCAGTGTTGTTGTTAACCACTGATCCTATTACTTTTTAATTTTTTTTCCAAAACCAAAATAAGACAGTGGAAATGAATAGGGTGTTGTGAGCAGAGGACTGTTGTAGTTTCTCGGAGGAGTTTTAAATACATGTGTGTCTTTTAGATCCCAGAGAAGTTTTCCAACAGTTATTGCACAGAGATATGAAACAACATTTTTAGACTTAAATCGAGATTCTTATACTTAAACAAGATTTTCTAAGACACTTTAAATAGGTAAGGAATACGGAGAAAGAATGAGGGTGAAATAAGTTTAATTCTAGAGATGGGTTAGTAAGTGTGAGTGGGCATTGGAAGGGGCAGCACAATTTCCAGACTTCGGCTGCAAATTTGACTCTTGTGTTTTCTTACTGGTCTAAATGTAAGTTTAGCTTGACATAAAAAGGTGCTGTAGCAGAAGCAGCTTCCTTTGTTGTCTTCCCTGTGGAATGGTGGCCTTGAGCCTAGGCAGTCTCTTCACAGGCAAATCAGAGAAGAGGTAGATGAGGACTCCAAGCCACAGTGCTTAAATATAAGGCATCATCAGATGCTCTGAGTTAATTTGGAGCCAAGTTATACAGAGTCGGCCACCCATCTTTTGAATGTCAAGGACATCTTGTGGTCTTTGGCACTAGGGCTCTTAGGTGTGAACGGAAAGAGGTGATGGTGCCGATGGGCTGGTGACTGGTCAATCCAGAGGGCAGCAGTGGCTGTTGTGATCAACATGGAGAATAGCAATGCTTACGTGTGAGTTGCCATCATGGCCACCAGGAGAACTTGTTGAACTAGATTACTGCATTTCGCCTCCAGAGTTTCTGATCTAATTGTTTTGCAGTAGGACCAAATGATGGGCACTTCTGATGCATTGCAGGAGAGGTTGATGCCACGGGGCCACAGGCACTTTGAGAACCATGGCTCAAATGACACTTATTTCCTAAAGAATTCATTTCTTCGTTGTGATGACATCTCACTGTTGTATAGCTTGTGGTGGGCTCGAGCTCTGGGTCCTTGAGCCTCTGCCTTCTTAGTGCTGAGATTATAATATCCATGTTGGGTTGACATTTTTGTTTTTACTTTTTAGTCAAACTAAGGGTCCATACTTGGTTGCCAGGTCATAGAAAACTTTTAGGACTCAATAAATTGAAATTCCTGATATATAAACGTTTTGCTTTTTATTCTTCTGGTTCTCATTAAATAATCAGTGTATTACTGCACCATCCCTCACTGAATAACCTTTACTGAAAGAGAGCACGGCCCATCCGCAGGCTCCTCTGAGAAGATGCTCATTTACTAAGATTCTATTAGCTATTATCGGCCTGGGTGGGCTAAGGAAGCTACAGCTGGTCCACAGGGCTCCTGTGCAGCATCCAGTTCCAACGATATTTATTTGATTATAGCCTCCATGTTGGACTTGAGGGTATAATGGACTGTTTTAGTTTTTTAGTATTTTAGCAGAGCTGAAATGTTCTCAGCTAAGCATATTATTTCTTCAGCAGTCTTGTGTGCTCAAGGGCTTGTATTGGGAATTTTTTTTTATATGAGAACTTTCTTTGCAATTTTTCAGACTTTTTGCATATATAATGAACTCAGTTTATGTGTACTCTGTCTATTGTTCATTAAATTTTGACCTTGGCATATATCACTTAATATGACCTGAATACTCCATCCTTTCAGAGTCTAAGATTATATTATCCTACTTGACAGTTAGGTATTTAATTGCATTCTATAGAAAGCGGGTTTCAATTTCTATTAAGGTCACCTGGGGGAATTAGAACAAAAACATGCTTGGCATTCTATTGCAATGTCTGAATAGGGCCCTGGCCTCTGTAATTTTTTTCTTTTCTTTTTCTCTCATACATTACAACCTGACTGCAGTTTCCCCTCCCTCCACTCTTCCCAGTGCTCCCCACACCTTTCCTCTCCCCCAGATCCACACTTTCTCCATTTCTCTTAAAAAGGGAATACCAACTGAGCCCAGCATCATGAATTACAATAAAACTAGGCACAAACCCTCATTCATATCAAGGTTGGATGGGACAACTCAGTAGGAGGAAAAGGGTCACAAGATGGGGGGTGGGGAGTCAAAGGCCCCCCACTCTCACTGTTAGGGGTAGCAGGGTCTGTGATTGTTGTTTCAGTCTCTGTCAGCTCCTACAAACCCTGCTTAGTTGATTCTGTGGATGAGTTCTCGTAGTGTCCTTGGACCCTCCGGCTCCTGCATACCCCACCCTGTTATGTGGGGTTCCTATGACTCTGCCTAGTGTTTGGCTGTGGGTATCTGCATCTGCTTCCGTCAGTTTCTGGATGACACCTCTCTGATAACATTTGGGCTAGCCACCAATCTATGAGTATAGCAGAATATCATTAGTAAACGTTTTATGGAAATTTCCCAGTCTTGTTTGGTTACGTCCTGAGTTTCTGGGCTGTTTAGACTCCAGTTCCTGGGCATCTAGGTAGTGTCAGCGTGGACTCCCTCTCTTGGTGTGGACCTCAAGTTGGACTAGTCATTGGTTGGTCACACCCAGAAGTTCTGTGTCACCATTACCCTAACACATCTTGGAGGATGGACAGATTGTAGATTGAAGGTTTTGTGTCTGGGTTGGGGTCCCAGTTCTGCTTTTAGAAACCTTGCCTGGTTGCTGAAGATGGCCGGTTCAGGGTCCATATCCCCCATAACTAGGAGTCTTTGATAGGGTCAATCTTGAAGATTTCAGGGAGTTTCTACTGCACTGGTTTCCACATTGTCCCCCAAATGTCCTTCAATTCCAGTCATCTCTCCCTCCTGTAAATTTTTTTTTTCAAGTTCCTCAGTGCACTTCAGTAAAATTATTATGGCAACTTTGTTTTATGTGACTTGAGGGCAGCGTCTCCTGAACCAGGTAGAGTGGTTTCATTGTGGCAACACCCAATTCAGTGCATTTGCTTTTCACAGTGACCTTCTGTTTTATGTTCTCTCAACTGATCGGTTTCATTAGAACTGTATCTAATTAATCAATGACCCTCATGACTGTAAAATCTGTTAAACAAAGTGTGAACCAGAGGTCAACATCACCATCAGGGGAACATTGGTAGGGATGCATGGTCTCTGGGTTTCTCCGTACCTAAGGAGCCAAAATCTGAACTTTCGTAAAGTCTCCTGGTGAACTGATGTGAATTCAAGTCTGAGGTGCACAGATTTAAGCTATTGCGTTCACTCACGCAACCACTCTATGTGTTAGTTTAACCCCAGTTCGCAGATGAGAAAACTAAGGCTCACTCCAAATTCCAACTTCCTTGTAAGGTGAAAGAGTCAAAGGAAGGGAATAGTTGTTATGAAAAGGGACGATGGCTCTGTGAACTGATTCTAATGTCCTTTCTCATGCCTGCTCCTGCTGTCTCGGACTCTCTCTAGCGAGCCTCATTTATCGGTAGTTTGGGACGGTGTCTTTTTAGCCCACTGCCTGATGGCTCTGAGCATTTGACAAGTATGAAATGGTGATGAGAGAGATGTTCTTCGGTGACTATGTATAGATGGCACTAATTAGCGTTTCCTCGTCTGTAGAACCACGCTACCACCTGCTTTTCCTGTGTTGTAAAAAATATCTGGAAAACAGCGAGTTGCGTTTTCCTTGAAAACTTAGTTATCTGAGACTGCAAAGCTTGGAGCATGCTGTGGGGCGTCCATGCTAACGGAATGACCCTGCATCTCTTTCACTCTGCTCTGGGAATCCTCATGACCCTGATACAGAACTTTTTTTTTTTTTTTTGCAGAGATTTTTGATGATTTCATTTTAATTTTCATGAAACTCTCAGAGACAAATACCTTTCAGATATCACTTGAAAATATTATTTCTTAGTTGGATGTCTTCATGCCTTGCTGGGAAGACAGAAGTGGCCAGTTTGGGGTGCAAAGAAGTGAAATTTTCCAATGAGGTCACAGAGAGACTCCAAAGGGAATCTTCCATGCTAATGACTGAGCAAATGCCTTCATCTCTCACTTTATCAGATCGGAGGATTCTGGTCTAAATACCGAGTGATTCTGCTGGGTTTTTTTTTTTTTTCCCCTTCAGTTTCACCTGACTGAAGTAGTGTCTCTCCAGCTGGACTGAAATGAAGGCAGAGTTAACAAGAGGCGGCTTATGCTGCCTGGTAAATACCCCCAGAGCTGTGCTTTGTGAGAGCAATTGAGTGACCAGGAAAGTTAATCCCCAGTGTCTTTCCACTCTGTCTTCCCAAGAGGTTTTCTCCACCTACCCAGCACAGAGCGGGAGGCAATCTGAGATCAAATTGACATCAGCCCTCATTCCGAGCTTGGCACATCTTCAGAGAGCCACTGTTCTTCTGCCAAAAGGAAGTGGAAATTGAGATAAATGCTTCAATCCTCGGATGGAAAAAAAAAGTCCATTTTTACACCATGTCCCTTTTGAAAAACCGCATTCCTCAGAAGCAAAGTTTATTGTTTCCCTTTGTGATAGTCTGCTGTGCTTTTTTTTTTCCTTCTTCTTCTTCTTAAGACGTGGTATTTAAGAGCGGTAATTGAGTTCAGATTTTAAACTGTGCTGTTTCCACTGTGCATGTCATTAAAATAAAATATTAGCTTTCATACACTTTCTTTGGAGGCGGTCCTGGTGTGCTCTGTCCTGCATTGTGCAGAGGGTCAAGATCTACAGAATAATGGTTGCGTGAACAGCGAGCCTGGAATCTGCAGAGAATCTTTATATTAGAATGTTCAAAACGTGTCTCAGAGACACTGACTCCCGGCGCTCATGTGATTAATTCTACTGGGCGTCTGCAGTCTATTCCCACAAGCGTTTTGTCTTGTCTAATAGTTGTCTTTACTTTCCGTGAAACAGTTTGCAGAGTCAAAAGTGGCTTTCAAAGCGCCGGGAATACTGGCTCTGGTGGCTAGTGAGGCGATGGGATTGGAGAGAGTCGTATTCAGAAAAGTATGTGGGTATGCGGCTTTGTACATCTTTTTAGAAGGTGCGCTCGGCTCCTCAGCAAAGTTAGCCCAGCCTTTACCTTTGGGTTGTTTTGGTAGCGCATATGGTAATGAATGTCGTTCTCTCACTCCATATGTATTCAGAAGGGTTTCGCTGTATTTTGTTTTAATGTAGCACATCGAAAATTCACTCTTCTATCAGATCAGTGTTGGAATGAGTTTCACAGTAGGTCTTGGAGTTGGGTACAAAGATTTAAGTGCATTTGAATTTTAAATGTGCAAACCTAACATTGTTACTTCCCCAAAGTGCTCTGTTCCTGGTTGGCTCCTTTAAGTGACTAGGTTACTACGGGATACTGTTCACAATCTCAGAGAATCCTAGTTGGACTCCGTTTCCTCAGCTGTGATCTAATTGATATTCTGATATTCCCTCTAGATCAAGAGGGATGGTGTTTGGACCGGCCAATTTAGGGGAAGATGCAATTAGAAACTTCATTGCAAAACATCGCTGCAACTCCTGCTGTGAGAAGCTCAGGCTGCCGGGTAAGTCTCGGAGACTCTGAGAAACTCTCATGGAATAACAGTTATTATAACCCGGGAACGCGAGAAAATCTTCACCACATTTTTATTTCATGCGCAGCCGTTCACAAGCTTGACTTTCAAGACTGAAAAATTTCAAGTCCCCGGAGGGATTTAAAGGACAGGGTTTTGCTTGAGGTTCTGCCAAAATGTGATAAAACAACCCTGGGCTCAGTGCTTGTCACAGCCGCTTCACGGAAAAAGTTCCACCTACTTAAAAGGAGTGAAGCGGGATGCAGGGCCCCGCTCTGCCCTTCCAAGGTCCTGTTTGCTCCCAGACAGCATGCCTGTAGCATTTTTATTGGGTTCCAGTTTGCTCATTGGGTACAGGAGAGGGTGTGGCCCAAAGGGAAAGAAAGGCTGTCAGTTAAAGCACTACTTTGTTCTCTAACAACTGCCCCTTTGTTAGCTCATTTGTTTGTTTGTTTTATAGCAGTGGGCTTGGAATCCTGGACCCTATCACGATAGGCCAGCACTCCACTGCTGAGCTAAGGTCTCAGCCCTCACACCTGTCACCTTAAATTTTCACTGCAGTGTGTGTGTGTGTGTGTGCGTGCGCACGCATGCGCGTGCCCACACTTCAACACCACTGTGCTTGCACTAAAGTCAGAAGACAACTTGAGGGGATGTGGTTCCCTCCTTTTCATGTGTGAATTCTGAGGTTCAAAATCTGGTCACCAGGCTTGTGGGGAGCCTCGTTTAACTAGCTTAGATATCTCTCTAGTCCCAAGTCCTGCCATCATAAACAATAGTCTTGCCTCTTTAAGCAACATTTAAAAAACAGAACCATTAACTGGGCAGTGGTTGTACATGCCTTTAATTCCAGCACCCAGGAAGGCAGAGGCAGGTGGATCTCTGTGAGTTCAAGGCCACCTGGTCTACAAAGTGAGTGGACACACAGGGCTACACAAAGGAATGCTGTCTCGAAAAATAAACAAAACAAAACCAAACAAAAATCAAAAACATCCCAGAGCCATCCAACTTAGAAATATGGTTTATTTTCTCCGAGTCTAGTACATTAGGCACAAATCCAGAATCCTCAGCATGAAGCAAATGGCTGAAGACTTTTGCTTTCCAGCAAGGAATCCTGACTCTGCTTGGGGTCTATTTGGCCTTTTCAGAAAGGGGCCTTACTATCTGCCTCAGCCTGCTTAGCTCTTGATTTCTGGGTCATAGCCAGGGTGTCCTTACACTGGAATTTCATATAGTTTAAGATAGCAGCTTTGCCTGCTTATCAAAGGGTACAGTCCTGAGTGGGGCACTGTGGCCACACCTAGAGCCCAAGATGTTCCAGAGGCAGGAGGATCACCTTGGTCAGTTTGGGCAGCATAGTTAGGACCCATATCTTTGACAAAAAGTCATACCCCAACCTGGAAATCAATAGAAGAGCGTCCTCCCTTGTAACCTGGGGTGTACCTAGAGAGAGCTACAACAAAACAGGCAATTTCTGATTCTGTTGGAATTGAGGGAGGGAGGTTTTTGTGAGCAAGACTTAGTTAAAAAAAAAAAAAAGCATTAGGATCAGGCCCCTAGTTTCCTCTATCGGTGAGAAGAGCGTGTACCATCCCGCAGTGGCAGATGACTGTGTGGAAGGGGAAGGCAAAGGAGCAAGGAGGAGCTGTAGTCTCATAATTGCCCCTGCTGTGAGGCATGGGAGATGGGCAAAGAGATGGATGCACAATGCTGTGTTCTCCGGGCTGGAATCACGAACCTGGGGAGGGGTTGGAGCTGGGCTGAGGCACACCACGACTCTAAGTAAGGGAGGAAGGAGCTGATGACTATCTGAATCATCCCACAGTTGGAGACCGCAATCTGCCCAGGAATCATCCTCCTTAGGCACTGCACTCTGCTCAGTCTGACTCACTGTAGCCTGGACAGGGTGGAATCTATTCTTGAAGGCCCAGGACTATATCTGATCAATCAGGGGCCAGTGAGACTCACACCATTACTCATTGCTTCCAATCTTTGGGCCCAGTTGGTTGTTAAGTATGCACATGTTGGCATGCCATGGTAGGCTGTAGGCTGGGAGCCAGTTGTCTGTTTTCTCCCTCCACCATGTGGGTTCCCGGGATTTGAACTTTGGTCATGAGGCTTGGCAGCAAGCACCTTTATCTGCTGAGCCATCTCATTGTGCAGTTTTTGTTTTCCTTTTAGCTAAAAGTAAGTTTGTTCCTTTTAACAGTCTCTCAGCCTGACCTACTCACTCAAACTTTTTATCTTCTTTATTTTTGAATATTTTTTAAATGTACAAACTGCAAGAATTTCTAGAATACTCATTTAGATTTCTCTCTCTCTCTCTCTCTCTCTCTCTCTCTCTCTCTCCCTGTCTGTCTCTCTCTCCCCCTCTCCTCTCTCTGTCTGAAACTGTAGTTTTAAAAAATTAGTATTGAAGTGGAAATAAAGAAATACTATCATTTTATATCATTGGTAATAGAGTAAAAATGTTTGGTGTGGAAAACAGAATGAGAAAACATTTTATTTTTTCATTTCCTTTATTTTTAAGGCAGAGGTAGATTAAGACAATGCATAAGACCCTGGAATCCAGACCTAGGCAGGCATGGCTTATGTATCCCAGTTTTGCTTTCTATTGCCTATAAGGCTTGGGCTTTCAACTTCTTCATCTGCAAGCAAAGAGATAATTGTACCTGTCTCACCAAGTTGATGGGAAGATTTATTTTATGTATATGTTCAATATTTGTTGGTTACATGATTAATTATATATTACATATACATACACACATGTTCGTTTTTTATCTAGAAAATTCAGCATTTAACATTAAAAAGTAAAACAAACAAACAACAACAACAAAACTGTACGCTTTTCTTCTTGGTGCCAGAGGTTGAGGCCAGTCCTTCACACAGACTATTCTCACAGCCAACCCCTGAATGGCAATCTTGGTTCCTTAGAGCCATCTGCCACAGCTTTCAGTCCTTGAGCTAACTAGTCAAGGGAGTGAAGAGGAAGGCTATACTCTCATAACTGCTCATGATGTGAGTTCACAATGCATGGGCAAAGAAAGAGTACAACACTGTGTTCTCTGGGCTGGTCATCAGGAACCTAGAAAGGGGTTTGGGCTGGACTGATGTACATCAGAACTCTTAAATAAGGAAGGCAGGTGCTGGGGGATATTTGAGTCATCCCACAACTGCATGCCAGAATTCACTTAGGAAATCACAGCACAAAGAGATGTTCGCACCATTTAATGCCCCTTTCCCTATAGTCCCTCCATTCCTGCCCTGCAAAGGTTACCCTGTTTACTGTTTTCTTTAAATGTCCTTTTCAAATGAAAGAGGAAGGGCTTGAGGAATGTCTGGTGTGATCTTTAGTTGATGAAGCTTTTATAGGTGGCCACAAAGCTGCAGGCAGCTTTCTTGCAGAAAGCCAAACCTTAGAATCAAAAGTCACTGTTTTCACTCATCCCTTTGATCATTCCTAAGGTTCCCATGTCTTGCTGGACCTCATTTAAGTTTTATCAGACACATCTCATCCCACTAGGAGGTGGCCAGTGACTTACACAGTGACAGCATCCATAGTTAGAATTTCATGTGGTTATTGGGATGGGAGGGGGCCTGAGTTTAGATAGGGTTAAGTGTTTGGAATCTGTAAGCCCAAGGCCTGGGGCAATAGAGATTCCCTGAACACTTTGACTAAGCCTGAAGTTCAGTCTATCTACATGATTCAATGTGTTCTAGGCCATCTACTAAAACTGTCTTGGTTTCTTTGTAGATTTAAAAAGAAATGATTATTCCCTTGCAAGGGAACATTGCAACTCAGGACTTGAGAAAAACATTGAACCAGCTGAGGGACTTCCAGCAAGAGACAGAAATATAAATGCCCTGGAAGATCTCACACGGCTCTAGAAAGGGCCACGAAGAAGATGATGGTCTCTTTGCTCCTTTTGCCTTGAACTCTATGGTGATGTCCACTGATTGACACGATCCTGACTATGTCAGAATCTCTGTCAGGCTGACTGTACAGTGTGGAAGTTCCTGGAAGTGTTCTCTGATCCTCATCTCCCGCTGTACCGAGGACACAATGTCTAAAGGAGGGATCCTCCCAGATATTGACCTCAGAGCAGAATGTTTGGCATGCATTCTCATGTCCTTGTTCTGCATGAAGACACTGAAGGAGTCCACCAGGGATACTCTCCTTTATACCTCATTGCTTCAGCTGGCTGCTTGGAACTCTTGGAGTAGAATGCTGTGCACTGAAGAACTGGGGGATGAATTAATTTATTTTCTTATGATGTTTGCAGACTCTATCCCCACTGCTATTCATCATTTCATTCAAGCATTGTATCTATATACATATCTATACCTTTAGGTATACACACCTATACATACATTAAAATGTATGTGATTTCTTCTTCCTTCTCCAGGAACACAAGGTTTGAATAGCAACAATAGGGAAAACACGGGGATGAATGTCTGTTGGCCCAGGTTGGAGCATAAAGAGTCACAAAAAGTCAAGTCCTGGTGAACTCTAGATGCTTTGGATTATAGTCTTCCAGTTTCTTTGAATGAGGGAGAAGTACAAATTTAAACCATTTTTTCCTTACATACCCCCCTCCTTTTTAAATTCAAAAATCGGAATATGTAATCCCACAAACTGTTCTGAAAGGTTTCACTGTATTAAGCTCAGGACACTAAGGTTAGAGACCATTGTCACTCACTGCTCCTTTCTCCCTTTTGGCACTGGATCCCATCACACCCACACTCCCCTTGGCCAGTCCTGTGGGGAAGATGCATCTGAGGCTGGAAGGCTTTGCACATCTTTTCTTCCCTCCATTGCAGCGTTCTGATGGCTTGAATACTTTATCAGTTTCTGGAGCTTGAAGTGAGGTGTCCCTGGAAGCAACCCTGTGTTGGGGCAGGTCCCTGTTGCATGCTGGGTAGGGTTGCCCTGCCTCAGAACACGTGTGATTTTTTTTTTTTTTTTAACAACAGCAGCAGCAACAGCAAAGATTGAAAGATGACTCCCATCTACCCCTGAGGCCCTCACTTAGCATTCCCACCTGGCCAACAGCAAACCTCCTAGGCCTAAAATTTCCACCTTTAGTTTTGTCTTTAGTTCTTACATTCATTGACTTACTTCTAATTCTCCTTTAGAAATCCAAACCCCTGCTTCCTTAGACTACACTTCAAGGGGAAGTATTGCATGGTGGGGTGGAAAACAGTTGTATGTGGTTCATGTGATTTTGAGGGTTCATCAGTATTCTGTTTCCTTTGGTTGGTAGTAGGTGGAAAACTTGGAAATTTCTTATCTCTTTTCTTCCCTCCCTCCCTCCTTCCCTCTTTCTCTACCCTCCCCCCACCCCCGTGTAGCATAGGCAGCCTTCAAACTCCCAATCCTCCTGTCTCAGTCCTTGAAGTATGTGCTTGGGTGAGACAGTGATTGGCAGTGAGGCTAGAATATTGATGTTGGGAGGCGGTGCTCAGCAATATTGTCCAATCTCTGAATCAGGAAGGGATTTGTTGGTCTCACTTCAGCGCTGTACTCAACTCTAGAAAGAGCAGAGTTTACTTATGCAAATACACCGATTTATTGACCAAAATACCTGTAAACTGGAGTGAAACTTGAAAGCAAATACAAAAACTTGATTGTAAACTTTTGTGGTGTGCTTTTTTTTTTTCAAAACAAAAAAAATGCTAAGAAAAACAACTGCAGAATATTATTTGAAAGAAAAGAATGATTGGGCAAAGGTCACTGGAATTGCTTGCATATGATGTGACAGCGTTGACTGAGTGACATGGTCACAAAAGGAGGCAGTGTTTGTTCATCCAGTCGACGGTCTGCAGTCTTCAGAAGTTATTTGTGAAGCGGCCTTTCTCAGCAGCATTGATGGTAAGATTGTGGCAGTGAAAATCCAACTCATATCTCATTTATCTTCCTTCCTTCCTTCCTTCCTCCCTTCCTTCTTCCTCCCTCCCTCCCTCCCTCCCTCCCTCCCTCCTTCCTCCTACCCTCCCTTCCCTTCTCCCTTTCTTTCCTCTTCCTTTTTTCTTCCTTCTCCTTCCTCTCCTTCACCACCACTTCCTCCTTCTTTTGTTCTGTATTTGGAACTCTACCAAGTCCTGAGGTATTTGACTTCTAGGCAGATGTTGGATTCAGAGAAGGGTCCTTTATCCTCCCTGCTAGCACCGTGGGCTCTGGCTGGGGTAAGAAAACTAGAGTAAATAAGAGGATATGGATACTCTAGCACCTCCAAGTGAAGGTGAACCGCAGAGTCCTTTCCTAGGCTCAGAGCCTTGGTCACAGGTGGGATCTGGATGTGAGGCTCTGAGAAGAAGTCAGGAAATTCGTGTGTAGGCAATCTAGTGTATGGAGTCTCCTTCCCATGGACTTTGCATCTCTGGATTCTGAGTGATGCGCACTACTTGCTGTCTTCAAACTTCTTGCATCACAGAGGAGTGAGATTTAATATAATTTGGGGCATTCCTCACTCCAGCTTTGTAAAACAAATGCTGGGTGGCGATAACCCTTCAGCCAGTGCTCCAGGAACATATTGTTACTGTTGACTGTTGTTTGACATGAGAGCCAGTACTCTGGTTTTGGAAATGATGGCACATGCCATCCACAGGTCTTCTTATGCTTCTCACTAGATCAAGCAAAAAGCATGGCTCACAGCATGAGGTCAACAACATTTTTTTTAAAAAAAGAAATAACACAATCTTCAAATGATAGTGAATTTCATTCACTAGGTAATAAATTATATTTCCATTTTTGACTGAGAAGGAAATGACTACCAACCCTTTAAGACCCAGGATGATTCTTTTGATGTCTCTCTGTTTTAATTTCTTAGGAAATAGCTTTTAACAACCTATACCTTGCCTATTGAGTTCTTAACCGGTCCTACTCTTATCACCATCGGTGGGTGATAACGCCTGAGAGCAGTCCTTTACTGGTGACTATTAAAACGAGATGATAACGTCCCAGAAACTGCCTAGAAATAACCATCACTTTATTACCCTTTGAAAAGAGGATTGATAGAAAAGTCATTTGAAAGATGGTTCATTACCATGCCCTAGTAAGATTTCTTTACTCACATCTCACCAAAGCACGAGAAAGGGAGGATTATTCTCTGAGGTCGGAATTTGAAGGCTGTGTGTTTGCCTCTTTGAAGTCTTGGTATTTAATTTTCTGTAGTCATTTCTTGGGCAATTTTCTAAGAAACTAGTTGAAGCTAATTTATCATAAGTTAAAGTCAAATGACAGAAAAGATTCTTCCCCCTTAACAGCATTTTATTCCACAGAGGTTAGCTTCTGAAGGAAATTGAGACTTAAATAGCATTTCAAATCTCCAGCCACATGGGTGGGGATAGGAAAAAAAAAAGCAGGATTCAGGAAGACACACTGGCTTTGCAGTTAGCACAATTGTTATTATTATTATTATTTTGCTTTTTCTTTGTAGACCACTATGTGCAGATAAAACGTATTTTTTTAAATACTCCCCTAAAAATAATTAGGTATGTTGCTTAATTTTTCTAAGAAAGACACGCCATCCTCATGGGATCCTACACCTTGGTCTCTATCATTTTCGACTTTTAATATAAGTTTATATAATTTGTTTAACCTTTCTGTTAACCCCTAACTCTGAAATGGAGATGAAGATACTTAACTTCTAAATGAAGGTGAATAATAATGAGATAGCATTTAGAAGGTCCTTGGAGAATCTCATCTAAAAAGCTTCTTGTGAGCCTGGAATGCAGTTCAATAAATAGTGCGGGATTTTCATTTTGGCATGATGTGATTCGTTACTGAGTATTACAGACGGTGCTCAGTGGACGTGGTTTTTCTTTCTTTCCTCACCCCCCCCCCCCAACAAGCACAAAAAGGATTCCTGCTCTTTTTTCCTTTCTAGAAAAAAAAAAAAAACTCATGGCTCCCTTTTTGGTTTCAAGATTAAATGTTTCAAATCGGGAAATCTGCCAATTCCCAGCAGCTCCCCTTTGCTCTTTGAGGCTCTAGACTTACCTGTCTTGTTTGTTCTGCCACCCTCTGTCTGGAGAAAGCGTTCTAGGACAAGACATCAAGCCCAAAGCGGCAGCACCTTAGGTGTTATTGTTGGAGGCATGAGAAGATAGAAGATACAGAGTTTGATGTTTGCAAAGCAATGTGGTCTTTTTTTCCCTGCAAGTTTTTATGAGCTATGATTTAAATTTTACCAGTACAGAGCTGGTTGGTAATAAGAAAATGTTGGTCTTTCACTCACCCGTGTCTTCTTTTTAGCAACTAGCATCCTCTGAACTTTCAGCTCCTCCAAGGGAAAATTTACTGTAGATCCTTAGAAATTCTATCTATTGAGTTAGTGACAAAGCTCTCGCAATTATTGAGGAAGAAACTGTTCTGCTAATGACTGTCTAAACGTGGATGTAACACTTGCCTTTTGTTGGAAGGGTTTGGAGGGGGACTCTTCATTGGCATCAGGGGTTTGTACTTTAGCCTCTAATGAATCTTTTGCTCTGTATCTTAATGGTAACCAAGCAACCAGTCACAGAGCCTTGGGATGCTTTGGTAACAAGAAGAAACCTTCAGTGTCTTGCCTTGTTTTAGAATTCCCATATCACCCTTGGAATTGTACAAATGAAGACTGGGGAAAGCACAAGTGGTGGGCAGAGGGGTACGGGCCAAGCCTGTGTCGCTATGGGTGAGGTTACAGTGTCATGGATGGTGGCCTGGCCGGTGAATGATTTCTCGAGGAAGAGGTGTGTTTGGAAGATTGTAGGCCTGTTACAGATGGAACAACATGAGACAAAATGCTGTCTACTTCTAGAGTACTTCTGGAAATTTCTTAGTGATAGGGTGGGAAGAGAGGTGTGGTGAGCTTCACTATTTAGTCCTTAGTATGTGTTACTGTTCAGTGTCTTTCCAAGCCTAGAATATTCCATGAGTGTTCTTATACGAAACTGACACTAAGATTAAATTTAATAGATGAAATATAATCAGATAGCAAGCTTTTTCCAGGCAAATAAGGAGTTTGCAACACAGAGGCTCATTATTGGTCAGGAAATTGCCACAGTGACAGGACCACTATTCTAGGGAAGGCACCAAGCACTCCTTGTCACACAGGCGCTGTGTGTAATATGCACTGTATCTATGCAATGATCTGATTCACTGAGTCCATTATGTGTATTATCTAGGCTTAAAACCACTACCTATAAATAAGTGAGGACATTAATGGGAATCATCTATCCGAGGAGCACTGAGATTTGAACCTGCAGCAGATCATTGATATAGTAATTTAGGTGATCCTAGCCAGCACAGCTAGTGGGAAGGTCTGAAATCTAGATTTGAAAGCTGGGATCTAATTTAGGCCTTCAGATAAGACTATCCAAACTGGGCTTGTGGAATGCTTCCTGGCATCGCCTCTATTTCCTAGGCATCACAGGGTTTTCAGTTCTGCACATTCGGGACATCTGTGATCCTCGTAAGTCCTTAGACCAGCCAATTCTCTTGTTATGCCATGAGATATGTGCAGAATAATGGGTGCATTTTCTTTGGGTGGTTCTGGCACTGGGTCTGTTGGGGAATTTTCTACTTTCACATGAATTTCTA